TGACTGAGTTTCAGATAAACCTGTGTGCTACTTTAGTTCTGACCAATTATAGAACCATTGGTTATATAGTGTGAGTCTGCTCAGTGCCTTTCTCTGATCTTTGATGTTGTTCTACCAGTTCTTCCAAAAGCCTATTGTCTCTATAGGCTGCGTTCCCTCAAGGGCAGCTACCCTGTTTTATACACACATTGCGTGCCAGTCTTGGACTCTGAATAAAATATCCAAATTATTTTGTAAAATTAATTGTGATTAAATTTGGAACCCGTAACATGAAATACTCTCTAGTAACCTTATGAAAATTGTGGAGTATAACAGTAGCTTCACAGACTTTGATTTCACCTGCTACAGAGGAAAGCCCTACACTCTAGAAGAGAGAGGATGCTATGAATACATTGTCATGTGATGCTAAATAGTATTTTCAGAGTAACTGACCCTGTTAAGATAAAACTATGCCAAAATATGCAGTCAGAATACTTGGGTTCTAGTGCTGTGGTTGTAGAAAGTTAGTGTGACATTATCTGCCTGGCTTAGAGCAGCTCTAGGGATGGTGTTAGGGAACATAATAGAAAGGCTCCAGGAGACAAGTTCATGGAGAAGGTCTTTCTGATCATTTGTTGGTTGGCTCGAAGACAACTGTGATTTTATTTTAGTTTTAGTTTTAATAAAAGCGCTTGTTAGATCAAATTATTTAACTGCTACCACTAAAGGTTTCTTTGCTTCGTCCCTTGCATGAAATTTAGTGGCTTTCTCCTCTGAGAAGTCATTCAGGTTCATGAATAACCCTAAAACTGTACTTTTTTGTTTTGCCATTTGACAATCCAAATGAGCTTGTCAGAGGATCATATGAATACAGAATGAGGAGGAGGATGTAAGACAGACAGCAAGGACAGCAAGTAAGGATTCTCTGTCCTTGAGCCATTCCATAGAAGAGGCATGTGGGTTTGTGAATGGATTAGCAATAAACCTTGAAATGTGTTATATGTTCATTTGCACTATGTATAGTCAACATTTTATGTTTTATCATTGAATTTGCTCATAAGGTAATTAGGAAATGAAACCATATCAAGAGCAAAAAATTTAATATATTCATATTTGTTTCTGTTGATATACTGTTGAAATAGTAAAAATAAAACTAATAGCACCAGGAATTTCAAGCCTGTTACGGTATACAATACCATATATCCACAATAAGTGTCTAAATATCGATAAAAGGATGTTTGAGCTTTTGCTTTTGAGAGTTCTTTTCTTAAGTGAATACTTAGAGGTAAATCAGGAAAGGAATGGCCATTTTTGCAGGTGTTTTGTTTGTCAACTGTTCTAATTTAGTACCGGGTACCGATGTCAGAAGATCATTAATCTCTGATGTGACCTCTAAATATTCTGGCTGTGGTTTCACTAACAGGAACTTTTCTGATGTTATTCCACTGAATTCAAGTAGCCAAAGTTATTCATGTCACAGAACATCTTTGTATTTTCAGATAAATAATCGTTTCACACTTCACAAAGAACATGAAGACACCCTTCTCCACAAAGGAAGGGAGAAAGCAGGGAGGGAAAGTAGGTCCTGGTTCTCTTTTGAAAAACTGCTGGTGCTTTGGATCTCTGTCTGTAGTTCTGCAGCTTCCGCGAAGGAGAACAGAAAGTTTAATGAGGCTGACAGTCAGCTGAGATGGTGCCTAAATCTGGGACAGGGGGGTAGCATTTTGGTTTGTGTTGTTTTACATTTTTAGTGGGTTCAAGTGGGGAGATGTTGTTGGTTTTGTATTTTTGAGGATTTGGGGGAGGTGTTGCTGATTGGGGTGCTGGGGTTTTTTCCCTGTAGCAACTGCATTGTGAACAGGATTATGCCTTCCTAATAATCTTTGGAACTTTTTATGGGTTGTCAGAGCATGTTTCTCACCCCAGTTTTGATAGCAGTGTTCTTCAGCATACCAAGAAAGTGATGAGTAACTGTGGCAAAATAACAACGTAACTAATTAAGCCTAGTTTTCAATGGATTTGTGTCCTTTGACCTATCCATATTTTCACTGCAGTATCCTCGTCCCTCACAACCACCAATTTTCACAAAATCCGTAGAATGTAATTATCTTGGACATCTTTGGATCGGTCAAATTTACCTTGGTTCAGTCAGTGAGAGAACAGTGATATTTCCGAGGAAAACAAGTTAAAATACTAGCTAAAAAGTGGGGAACTTTTCCAGACCTATTTATATTTGACATTATTTCTTAAAGGAATTCCTGGTTTTGACCAGAGAATTCTGGAGAAAAAAAATTATTAATAAAATATTTTTGGAAACAATAAGGGGATGGAATGGGTGCTGGTTTATATTAGTTTTAAATGCAAGATTAGATTTTGCCTTATAATTCACACTGCACATGTATATTTAATCTCTGTAAACAAAGGGTCATCCCAGAGAATGTTAATGTCAAGTAAGTTTGGATTTCTAATATTAGAAAAAAATAGAAATTTCAGTCACTCCACCTTCTTTTGTCATCCTTCTGCATCTATGTATTGTAACATACTTAATCACGAGTAAACATAAGAAAACTATAATTTCTATAGTCTAGAAGCCATTATGTTACTAACATAACTAACTTATCAACCTGTTGTTTATGATTAAGTTGGCTTGCTAAGTGGTAATATTAAATAACTGTTAAGCTTTCTTTTTAATTACTGTTTAGTGCCCTAGGACTGTTGTAGTTCATTTTTAGGCACAGAAATTGAGATAATTCCCTCCGGACTGATCTTGCTGTCTTTATTTCCTGTGTAACAAGTGTGCATGCCATCACTGAATGGGGTACAATCACAGAATTATTCTGAATTTTCTTTCTTTTCCACTCTCTCCCTTTAACTTAAAGAGTTAAACCAAAAAAAAAAAAGTTGTTTGTCCTAAATGTTCTTACTGAAATCCATTATGCATGAAAGGAGTCTGAGTCCATTTGCAAGACCTCTAAATGAACTCCATTCATTCTGTGCTTAGAAATGTCCATTCAGCCAGAAACAGACACAATAGTTACAACCTCATTTATTTTGCACCAATACCATCATATTAAAAGTGAACCGTTTGTTTTGAAAAAGTATAGTAATCTTTCTATGCTAGTTATATAATTCTTTAATAAAATTACTTGAGGGTTTGAAAGATGTAAAATTGCCTATCTATTCTTTGCCCATAATTGCAATGTAGTAGCATTGCAGTCATCTAAAATTCTTAAACATTCATGAAGATTTTGAAATAGCTATTTTGAAAATATGAGTTCACTTAGCTTGACTTATTTTCATGTAAAACAAGTTACAGAGACTTCTGTTTCTAGTTAGCTTGGAAATCAAGCCAATTAGTGATCGTAATTAGTGGCTATGGAAAAAAATAGATTTAAAGTTTTGTCTTTTCAAACATTGAAACTTTGTTTGCATTTAGAAGGTAAATTACTTATGATATGCATGTCAAAATTGTAGGAATATAGAATTTCATCACTTTAAAATCCATGAAGATAAGTCAAGAATTCGCTGCTCCATATTTTGTCTGTCTTAAAGTGGAAACTGTCCCATTGTGATCAGCAGAATGTCACGATCCTCAGGTGTAGGGTTGTGATATCAGACCATATTACATCTCAGTTTATATGACTTGGAGTGTTGAGCAAGACTCATTGGTTTTCCTTCTAAGGTTAGGAATGAGCAGAAATGATAAGCATTTAGGAGAACCTGGCTTGCCTTACATGCAAGTGAGACTTTCCTAAGTTGTCATTCTTGCATGCACTATTAAACCTGTGTGAGGAAGGTCTGCAGCCTCCCAGGAGCATTCTCTCCCCAGTTCAGGTGAGGGAGGCTCTCTAAGGAGAATCTGAGGGGTTGTATTTGTGTCCTTTTCCTGCCAGGCTGGGTGGCCATTTGCATGTGTTAATTGCCTAACAGGCAGATAGTGTTCAATGTAGAAGTAAATACTATGTTTGGAGGGAAAGAGAAAGTTGAGGGCAGATACAAACCTGAAGTCCTTTATTTATTTAGATTCAGCAGACCCTGTTGCAGTCGACTGTTCAGGGCCCCTTTGAAGTCAGAGCCATTTTCATGCCAACTATTATTTATGGCACTCTGGCCTTTAAGTACCAATAATCAACTTGGAAGGAGGTGACTGTGGTAGCTGACTGGAACTGACTGAGCATTTCCTCCTACAAACTGTAGAAAATACTGTTTGTGGGAAGTGTGTGAGTGAGGGTGAATGGGTGAGGGGCTCACGGCAGGAAAAACAACTAACAGGAAAGTGTAAGGAGAAACATCATCTCCTTGCTCTCAACCAGTTCTTTATCTGACAGTCCTCCTGCTGGTTGCTTTTCCTGCTGAGTCTCCTCCTCCTTCCGTCCCCTTGACATGCAAAATACATGTCCAGTGAATACCTACACAATGACAGTAACAGCACTTTGTTACTGAAACTCCCTGCATTCTGTAACTCTTGTGTCGCATTCCATTGTTTTGATTATTGCTGAGCTTGACATTATGTGAATTGCACCTGCAGTATGGCCTGCTCTGGGATTGTACAATGCAATAATAACTTGAAGCTACCAGGAGTTCAACAGAGTAAAGGTCTCAGGATATGCTTTTCATAAAGTAAATTGTTTTTAAAGTTGTTTGGGTTTTTTTAATATTTTCATCTGTTAATGTTACGCTTCTGTGTGAACATTAAGTGACATATACTAATTTTCCACAATGTGTGTTTTCTCTGGATGATTATCAGCCTGACTTCTTAAATCACTTCTTTACAGTTAAATGCTCTTGATTTTGATGGAGTTTTTTCTGATCTACATCAACATTCTCCCACTTCATGTATATTCCCAGGTCAGAGATCTGTCAGTTCGCCTTTTTTTTTTTTTACTGTTGGGAAATGAAAGTTCAATAAGAAGGGTCTGTGATAATATATTAAAAAAAAAGAAGCAAAAATTAAGAAGAATGATAAAATATGTCCCTCATAATTCACTGCTGACAACTCACTTCTGCTTTTGTTTGTTTAGGTACTTCCCACCAAGGTGGCTATTCCCACAATGCAGTGGTCCATGCATTACAAAAATGTGGCATTCGTCACATTGACACAGCAAAGAGATATGGCTGTGAATCTCTCCTCCAAAAGGCCATCAAAGAGAGTGAGGTGAAGCGAAAGGATCTCTGGATAACTACCAAACTCTGGCACAGTGATTATGGCTATGAAAACACAAAAAAGTCCTGCTTGGAGTCATGTGAAAGACTTGGCGTTGAATATCTTGGTATGAATGTTTACATATAGCTCATTTACTGTACTTTCCATGTGAGTACTCACAAATATGAATGAATTCCTGAAAAAATAGATCACAGAAACCAAATTCTGCCTTTATTTACACATTTGCAGGTTTCTTGTTCTGTTTGTTCTCTAGAAAGTTCACATGCATACAACTGAGAGCACAGAGTTTTTTCTTGTTGCCAGTGTTTTAAAACAGACCAAGGTATATTTTGTAAAGGTATATCTCATTGTTAAATTCCTTGAGGAACAACTACATGAGTTTTATATATTTTGCTAAAAACACCCAAAACCTATGTAACAAGGATTCATAAACTTTACAATAATATATTGGCAACAAGGTGACAAAAATGCCTGTTTTCTTCTGTGGTCTGTTTTCTTTTTCTCGAGGAGTGGGAGTCCTTTCTAAAACTTCCTTTGTAGGTCTATTAATTTTGAAATTCAGAATACTGCCTTTGGTTTGATCTGCCTGATGCAATATACTTTGGGGGAAATGTTAGAAGTATTTACAAGATTTTAGAAAACTGAAACTAAATCTAACTAACACTGATGCACTTTCAAATTTAACCTTATCATAAACTTCTTTTAGTAGAAAATGTGATATTGGTACTCCCTTATTAGATAGGCAAAGAGCTGCCATAGTGATGTCAATTAATTCTTTGAAACAGGCCTTAAGAGAGGAGATACCTGACAAAAATAAACCTAATATTTGCTTCTTCTTCCCTAGCTGAAGCAATGAGAAGAAAGTGGATGTAGAGGAAGGTGAATTTAAAGTAATAATCTAAAATAATGACACTAGTGGAGATAATCTTTATGCTGATATTCAAGAAGCAATTGACCCAACCGTCAAACATTGCCTGTCAGTGTCCTGAAAACCTTCAGTTTGTTTCTTTCCTCACCCTGTCCCCATTTTAGGAATAAACAAACTTTAATGAGGAAGTGAACAGCTTTTGTGAAGTATGAATTTCGCTGAATTAGTAACATATAATATTAGTGGCAGCCGTGTGCTATGTTTACTGGCTTTTTTTGCTTGGGTACTTTGCAAGATGAACAGGGAAAAGCTCTTATATCTGTTAAAGACCGATGCCTGCATGCACAACTTTGGCTTCATTCTTTCTGGAAATGTATCCCTTCACATCCTCCACAGGTACAGAATAATGCAAAATGAATTAAGATTTCTTTTTGTCTGTCCCGTGCAAATGCAGGTCACTGTAATGAGACTTTCATAAACTAAGTTTCAAGCCTTGACTATCTCCTTTAACTTGAGAAGTAACATTATTCCTCCTCTGCTTTCTGCTTGTTATTTTGTGTTTTCTTTCTTTTTTCTTCTGCTTGCTCTGGTACTGGTGCTGAATGGCAATGAGAGGAAAACTTGACTCACTTCCAAGAAGTCTTTTTCAGTGATTCCTTCCAGTACTGTAAGTTGTTTTTATTTTCTCAGGTAGTAGGCTGATTGAAGTAGGTGCTCACAGAAATACTGAGTTTACATATTGCTGCTTAGCAGAAATACCTGAAAGAAGGACAAGAATATCTGAGAGCAAGAAATGCACTAATGCTGTCACCATGTGAGTGAGTCCTTGGATTGGCATAAACAGAACTTCAATTTGTGAGATGTGTTCAGACCTGAGACTTCTTTTGCTCATATTACTAAGGCAACCTAAGGGAGTATTACAGCTGCCTGTCCAATTTGTCTCCATACTAGATTTGATCCTTTTGTTATTTTTGTTTTGTTTTTTTTAATAGCCTCACCCATCTTCCCACCACTGATATGGAGATGTCTGAAAGATTTCTAAAGCTCTTCCTGAACCACTTAGTCTGCCATAGTGACCTAAATCAATGCAGGCTTCAGCTTGCTTTAACTTGACAGTTTGTGAAGTGTGATGGCTTTGGAAATACTTGACATCCAAGTCACTGAGCTGTTGGGATGGCAAGTGGAGCAACAGTTTTGGCTACTGGGGTTTAATCTCTGTTGTATCAACTCCACAGTTTCTGTTAAGCACAGTGTGATCTGCACTGCTTTGAGAGACATAAGGCTGAGTTCCATCTTTGGTGCTGTTTATGCTGGGAACTAGACCCTCAGAGGAGGTGCAATACCTGGGGTGTTTCATGGGTTCATGGACAGCATCCTTAGGGAGTCCTGCACCTCCTGTATGAAAGCACTCAGCTGGAAGGTGCTGCTGGGAGGATTTTCGAGCAAAATGAGGCAGTACCTTGAAATATGAACCTTTCAAGTTTTTTCAGGAATGCTTAGAGTAAGAGCTTTCTGTTGGAAATTGAGGCTTATCACAAGTCCAGCAAAAGTAATTAGAATGCAGAAGATTGGTTTGAATATAAGGCTATAAGCTTGTAGAAATAAGGTCAAGATATTTGTTTTCATTCATACCTGCCTTTTGTGTCCCTTTTCTGCTGACCAGTCTGTACCATAGAGAGGACCTAAAATCCATGGCAAAAAGAGATCTGGTAATAACAGGGCAATTTGTGCCCAAGCTTATTTAGGAAAGTAAATTCTTTAGTTACAAGCATGTGTTAATGCTGGCAGGTTTTCTGTAAAATAGGAGTGTGAAATAATGATCAGAATAAATCAGAATTTCCTGATTTCATGCTATGATATTAACCAAATATATGGGAGTTCACAGCATTTCTGTAAAGATACATGGTTCTCAAAGAAAACTGAAATATCCTAAATAAAAATCTGTGATGTTAGACCTTTATGTTGTAGGAAAAGTTAGTAATTCAGAGGACTACAGAGAGAAGAAGCTGCAGGAGTCCTGGCAGCTAAATGTTCAGCTCAGCTCTTTGTTCCTGTTCCTGTTAATTTTCTTGAGGATCCTTATGGATCACACAGTCCATCTATACAGACTGAATTAGAGACCTGGGAAATAATCTCACAGGAGTTCATAAAACTGTGCATTATCAGTATATGGACTGCCAGCTGTTGAAACAGATGAATTGTTGAAAACAGTCATAGCTTTTTAAGAGAAAAAGTGCTCCATGTAAAATATGTGTTATGAAGCCTTTTCAATAAACACTTTTGAGGCAAATGGTACTAGGAGAGCAGTGTTCCAGGATTTTTATTTGAACTGGCAGATTATATATCCATGATGTGCTGGAAATTTATATTATTTGTGGGCAGTGGTTGTAATAGATATTCTGCTCCTTGCATTTTCTAAATGTGGTCCTCAACTAGCAGACACAGTAAACCAGTATGAAATGGCAGCAAATCTTACAGGTTTGGCAGTAGCAGAATACATTCCTTGGTATTTGGATCTAACCTCCAAAATAACTTCTTGAATGTGATTTGTGGGTTACGGAATTCATAAACAATTTTATTTTCCTTTTGACTGTTCTGAGTTTGTCCCATTCAGGCAAATCTGACCTATCACAAATCCTCAACTGGAGCTGGACAAATGCACTCTCAGCATATTCAGTGTAATAGATGAATCACATGGAATGGGTGTATTATCATAATTCAGGTTCTGTATTGCTTCAAAACACTTCGGGTTTTTTTTCACATTGATCCTTGTTCAATAGAACAAAACAAAAAAAAACCCCACAAAATATTGAGTGGGAGAGAAAAACACATCATGTCAATACTAAGTACAGTGACTTGAGAAAAGGAGGGAAAATAATTGCATTAAGATAGCTGGGAAACATTGAAAAATATTCTTTTGCTTTTAGATGTGATATAAGGCAAGGCTTGTTCTTCAAAACTACATTTGTTTTAGTCAATGTGGACTTTTTTTTTATATTAAGAATTTCAATAGAATTGCAAACTTTTATTTCCACAACAACATGCTGTTCGCTTTTAAACTGTAAAGTGACCCTGTACTTTCCAGGGCCATTTGATTGTTGATTGTAGGTGCTGCAACCACTAAGAGTTAATAAGCCATTCTATTTTAAATGTATGTGTGAAAGCAGCACTGTGCCTTGACATTTAAATGAACTTCAGGCCTTGCTTACCACTGCACCATTGCAGCTTGATTTTCTGCAATGGATGTTTTAAAAAGGTGTTAAGTAAAAAAACTGATTGTGAATGTTTGGATGTTTTCTTCTTCTTTCTCAAGTGCATCCTGATACTGTGAATCACGGTGGATTTTTCAATTTAAGATTATTTTGGAGGACATCTCAAGGTGTTAATTAATCTTTCCCACACTACAAAGCACAACTCCATCGTTCTCAACACATAAAAATGTAGTCTGTTCTTAAAAACCTTCAGTGATAAAGTTACACATTTCTTGATTACTAGAACCTTAAGCTATTTCGATAAATGATTTAAAACTAATTTCTTGCCTCCAAAATGAATTAAAGAGTGTTTGTGTTCTCATAATCCCCCAGGAGGGGAAATATTTTAAGCAAAAGAAAGTGTGTGTGGGTGTAGGGTGTGAATGTGTGTACAAATAAAGATGAAATCATAGACCTTGGTTTGTGCAGGGCTTACTGTTTTTGTTGGCCTGCAGGTATCGTGGAAAGTTTTCTAACAGATGCAGTAGAAGAAAGCAGATCCTGGCTGTGCCGGGGGTGCTTTACCCATTACTGGCACAAAGACTATTCTGCTCATTATCTATGAGATAAGGTACCTTTGCCCCACATCTTTGGAGAAAACTTCTTGTAGTCCAGAAGGTCTGCACTTTGTGATCCAGTAGAGGCTTTCTAGCCCTAAATGCCTATATTTCTAAATGTGAAGTAATTTTTATTTCAAAGAAACCCCTAAATTAAAATAAACATAGTAGGATGATATAGACATCACATACCTGGTAACATCACCTTTCTAAAATAAAGGACCAACAGCTAATCATGTTTGCACTGAAGAGGCCTAAGACACTAATACAGGGAAGGCTGATGTGTTGCATTTTTTTTAAATGTCCAAGGCCAGAGATCTTTCAGTTATCAAATCTCTTAAGTCTTTCTTCTGAGAGTGCTTCAGTTTCTTGGACTGAGTACAATGCATCTCTGTATATGGAAATCCATGATGTAGCTATTTCTGTGAGCATTTGCAAACTGTGGTGTCCAGCTGAATACTTTGGCTTTTGGAGAAGTAGCTTTTGGTGAAATTCTGCTGAAGTTTGATTATTTTTGCTAAATGATGTGTTTCTGCATAGTTAAGCAGTTCTTACTAGTCTGGTTTGGAGAACATAGCAAGCAGCAGTTAAAGATACATAATTCCATTTTTATGTGAGGTAGGCATCAGATACCAGTAACTTACACCTACTTACATGTGACATTTGCTTTATCCAAGCAAAAACGTTTACATTCAAACATGGCAGTCTCTGTGCAGTAAGTACCACCAATGACATATAATTTTGGATCAAAACAAACACTTGATATTAGCAGTTTCTAGTGCTAATCCTTGGGTTTATGTCTGATATAGATCAGTGGAAATTTTATTGGCAACAGAATTTGAGTAGCCCTGACTTTTGATCAGAACCTCACCAAATGCTTTATTAGTTCCCAGTATTAGTTTTCAGTTAAATGTCACAGAAATTGGTATTTATTCCAATACCATGTATTGGTATTTATTTTTAATAAATACAAGTTGTTTTCTCAGAGCAATTAGAGAAGAAGTAATTATTCGTGCATTGGTGATGAACAAGACTGCATATGGAATTGGAAGTGGATTTTATGTATATAGGGGCAAAGAATGAACAACTTTCTCTTTAAATGCGATGCAAATTCAGATGCTGCAGATCATTATATATGAGTGATATTTGCTTCCCTGAGCAATTGTATTTAAAAGTCTAATGCGTTATTGATATTGGAAAGTGCAAATTTAGCTTGTGATTTTTGTGATGCATCCAAAATAATTTTTTCCTTCATACAACTGTAATGTATCTTACTGTACAAAACTCTGTACTGTTCTAAAATTTTTAATCCAAGTAAAGTACTCTCTTTAACAGTGTTGCAATGATGTGCCAAAATTGGAACTGGTGTATTATAGAGAATTTCATGTTACCTTTTCCTCTTAAATCAAGGTTGAGTTTGTATTTTCAGAGGTGGAAAACTAATATACCAGCCCACTGGTATAGTAATCATTAGTGCAGTCCTTAAATGGGAATAAAAAGAATTATTTTTCTTTTTATTTTCCACCTTTTTCGTTATTCACAAAGCAGAGGATCTGTATTTTCTCAGAGGTGCTGTAAATGAATGGTGTGATGTATTCAAAGAACAAAAACCTCTTCTCACTAAAACAAGTTGGAGTTTTTTTTTATTTCTTAACTCTGTATTTGAACTGCCGAAAAAGGAATATTATAAAGTACAAAGAAAATGGTGTACATCTCAGTCATCCCATTATTTTCTTTTGCTGTTTTTCATCAGACTAATGTATGCAGCAAAGGCCAAAACCTGTTTGACTGGGATGCCTGCAGTTACCTGTTTAATCTGGAGTTAGAATTTAAATAGAAATGTAATTGTTTTCCAAGTATCTCTTAAATTTCTCCTTCAGAATGTCTAGCAGTGTCTACAAACTTATAAAGGAATTTAGGTCCTGTCATTTTTGCAATTTAGATAATCTCATTTGAAACTCTGAGTCCAATACCTGTACATTTCTCACTTTAATTTATGTGAATTTCTGCTGCCCTTGGTTGTTAATGAGATGTTCTAGAATTCATTTATTAAAACTAAATGGATGTGTGCAGTAATAACCGTGGAGTAGTATTTGTAACTATTACAGTGATAATGTGTTGGGGCCATTATGGAGGGAAAATGCTGTTTCACATGATTTGATATATTTATTTTTTGCACACTTTACTGAGCAGTCTGTTTCTGTTTCTGTTTTAGATCTGTATTTAATGCACTGGCCTGATGCTCATGTTCCGGGTAAAAGCAACCGAGAGGTCCGAGCTGAAACCTGGAGAGCGATGGAAGAGCTCTACGAGAAAGGTTTTTCTTGTTACATCACCTATCTCAACAGAAGCAATTATTGTGCGCATTGGGATTTGGGGAAGTCGTAGTGAGAGATGTCCAAAAGCTTAATTTGAACTGGATGCTCATATTTCAGTGGAATTTGTGTGTGTAAATTATGAGAGCCTCTTTGGAAATTGCAGTGTTCCTTGTAAATAATACATTGTCAAATTCTGTCCACAACATTAATTATGGTGTGCATACTTTCTTGAGGAAATCTACTGATTGCATTGAAATCTATATGCCACTATAGAACACTTTTGAACACTAGAGAACATCTTTGTAGTAACCTCCTCTATGTTAAATATAAATCATGCCAAGTTTTACTTCTTTTAGATTTTTTTTTTAATTGTATGATGCCATTTTCCAGTTTATTGTGGTATTTTGTAGTTCCATTTGTGTTTTAGAAAAGGTTCAACAAAAGAAAACGGCTAGATGAGGAGCAAATATTGAACTGCAGATTTTTTCATACGAACTTTTGGAAAAAATTTCAAAGAAGTGAGCTATTTGCTCAAGTTCTGAAACCTCAGGTTTTGGTGCACTGCAAACTTCAGTTTATGTTCATAGCAATAGGAAGAGTAGACTGTAGATTTAAGAGGAGGATTTTGCTCCTGAAGTATGCAGAATTATTAGAAATGGTATCATGAGAGAAGATCCTGTCATGCAATTCTTGGCCATGTGAACCACCCTGTTTACAGCTTCAGAGAAGCTCCACAGTTGGGGAGAAGACTTCTTGGAGTAAGTAGTCTAACACTAACCCAGACTTACTGAAGTAGTGAGTGCAGCAGGAGAGTTGCACAAAGACAATTACAGGCTGTGTGTCACTACCAGCTTTATCTGAGGCATAAACCACCCTCTCCTCTTACACTTCAACCCTTTGTTTACTTTTGCTCTGCCTCTGGAAACACAGAAGTGAATTATCTTTGGTACATCTTTTGTTCTTGCTTTTTATATTAAGTGTTTTCTGCCGTGTAAGGCATTACAACATTCAGTTTTTAAAGAAATGCTACACTGACCTAATACTTCAAAGCATCAATGACTCTTACATCCAAAAATGGATTATTCCACAAGGTATTTCATCCTTCCATTGAGAAGGTTTTTTTCTCAAGAGTATTTCAGTTACTGCGTGTCATTTGTGCCTAGATATGGCATCTTAATTTGCTGAAAATAAGTTGTATTTTTCACATTCTATTATTATTCCTATCCTATTGGCTTTTTTCTGCTTTTCCATAGGTCTTTGTGATCTTTCCTGTCTTGCACAACTCTTTCTTTCTCTATATATCTTCCTGATGGGAAAGACAATGACCTATTCAGTGGTCTTCTAGTGAGACACTGGAAATACTATTGCTGGCCATGCAAACAGAGGAAAAATTGCTTTTAATTTTTGTTCCTCTGCATGATAACACTTTACAGACATTCCATGTTATATTTATTTTTCCTGAAGTTGCATTTCTTCAACAATTTTGTCAATTTGCATGCTCAGTCTTTTTCTGAATTTAAGCATTCTGTAGACTCATTTAGCTGAGAATGAGTTTTCCAGCTCTGGTTGTCTGAATTACCTCAGTTAGATCATATACAGGGGAAGGAAAATTTAATAGTCTGGTTGAGTCAAGTGCCTTAAAACATTAACTTCCACACTTTTGCTTTAGGGGATACAGACTCTGGATGTCCTGACCATAAGTATGTGTTACGGAAATGACACGCAGATGTTAACCACTCTGGAGTTGGAAATGCAATGATTCCTGAGCAAAATGTTAAATAATTTGTTTGCATGGTTAACCACTAGGTTTTCCACTGAAGATTAAACACTTGCTGCATATCTTTGTGACTTGCTATGTGTTACGTGAGCAACAATCTTCATTTAGCAGGGGAAAAACTTGAGAGTTCTTTACTAAATAGATGAGTTCTTTGTCTTCTCTGAACTTGACATTGGTTCAGGTAGTCACTGGTTCCTGTTTGCAATTCTGTTACTTTTTTTTTTGGAAATGTTTATTCTGGAAAAAAAATTAGTAGAAATTAAACGCAGGATTGACAATTTAAACAAGTAATGTGCTTCTACAGTCAATTCACAAAGGTAATATTGAAGTGATTGAAACCCACTTGCTAGTGGGTTTAGCAACTAACTGCATCCACACTGAAGTGTGTCTGAAAGTACAGAGAATAATGGCTGTTCTCTATAGAAAACAAATTGGTTTGTGTTATGGAACTGATAATACTTTTATGGTACAGAGCTGTCTGCAAGAGACTTATGAGATAGTTAAAAGATGTCTGTGTTGACCTAAGGCTTTGATCTGGCTGAATTTAACAAGATTTTCTGTAATCACTTCTCTGTATTCACAGATGGTTTGAGTGCAGATACTTGTAAATCTCATTCTTCAACTTCAATTTAAATCCAGGTTAATATTTATTCTGCAAAATTCTACTTACCTGGGGCAAGAAACATTATTTTAAAGTAATGTAAATTATTAATAGTCAATTGTTATTATCAGTTGCCCTAGGAGTAGAGTAAATAAACTGCCAGTACTCAAGACTGTAAAAGTCTTTAATGCAGATTTTTTTTTTTCAAGGATTATTTAGATTGGTCACATTGGTCAGAAGTGGACACAAGAAACTGGAAATATAGACAATTTAAAATGAGAACCTGAAGAGTATTTGTTAGTGATCTGGTTACTCTCTCCAGTTGATTATTTGCTGTACTGAAGTTTTGGGCTGCACTCCTTGGATCCAGTGTGCTTTGGAAACTAAACAGAACTTGGTTACTGCCCCAAGGATGGAGTCCAAGGAACACACTTGAAAGAAGTTTTCATGTGTTACCACTCTCACCCTTGTGCTTGAATCCACTGTTTAATTGCCTAAGGCAACTAAGCAGCAAAACTTTAGGTCAAGAACAATTTCCCAGAATCCTGGGCATTTTTCTTGAGATTTTTCACAAGAGAGACTTCCACTGATCAGCCATTGCAACTTCTTTGTATTGAGAATTAGGAATGGGGGAGGAGAATTATTATTTTCTTTACTGGTTTTACAATTTTAGTAGGTATCTGAAAGTATAGGATAAAGGCAGAGAACTCTAGACATATGTCTTTGTTTAATAGCCTTGCTTGTGTTTTCCTTTAAAGGGTTATGGGATAAACAGCACTTAGGGAAAAAGAAGGAAAAAAATTCTAAAAGTTGGTCAGTGAGACATTTGTGTAAAATAACTGGTTGTTTCTGTTGTAACAGCTGAAATCAACTAGGATTCTTGTAATATCAAGGCTATGGTTTGAATTTTTATGGTCTCAAAATTGTCATTTTGGGGAATTATCCTCTCCAATACCTCAGAACAGAGGCCAGGCTCCCTACAGAATCCATTCCAAGATACATACATTGAGTCATATATTCCCTTGACAGCTGCAGCATTCTTGCATAGGCATTTGTGTGCTGGCAGATGAAAGCAGTGTGGCAAGCTGCTTTGACATCATGAATAGTCATTATATGTGCTCACTGGTAATTGGTCTGTTCCTAGCAAAGTGACCCCTTCCATATGCAGTGTCTTTAATGACCTTGATTTTGGCATTGTGGCTAGCCCATCATCTTGGAAAGCTTTTCATACACACATGCACATGATTACCCGTCCCTCTATCTAAAAATGCTGGGAAGAATGAGGGCTTCCAGCCAGCTTTTTGCCTGAAGTTGGCAAGAGTGGTAACATGGTGGTTGTTCTGGGTTCAGATCCCACTCGGACTCGCTGCCATTTTACTAAGAGTGAAATTGTTAATCTTTTTCATGTTAGCAATGCAGCTTATGCTGAGATGAAATATCCTTATTTACCTCAGAAATTCCTTAACGTGTTAACGTATGTTTTTGTTATGATTATGTGCATGACTCAAAGAGAGTCTTATAAAGAGACAGAAATTGTTTAGCCCAATAATTAAAGCCATCTTACTATGTTCTTGGAAAAAGATTATGTTTTGCTTGATTCCAAGTGAGAGAATAAATCTAACCAACCTTAATAATATTCTTGTCCTCCTCATTGTTGGGCATAGACGAGCTCAATCATCATCTTTTCTTTCTCCATTTTCTATCCATTCTTAAAAGTATGAGTGAGGTTTCAGTGAACCAAACACAGTTTTTGGGGCAGGTGGCACAGATTTCTAGCACACTTTGCTGGATGGCATATTCTGCTCTTATTCTACTGAAAAATTGCTTTAAATCTGTACGTATATTGTCAAATGATGAACAGCTGACAATTCAAACTGTTGTGCTGCAGCTCCACAAAATGTTTGCCTCAAGAGTGCTTATGTTGGTAGAAATCATATGTGAATGTGTGTTCATAAGTTGCACTGAAGTTCTGATAAGTAAAAGCAAGTAATTAATTTGCCTAGCAACACTTCTTTTTCACATTGTGGATAGTATTCTGTCTGTGCAGATGAAGATGTCTCGTGGGCTTGTTATTATCAGAAACACAGTTCAAAGATGTGTTTTCATGGGTTGGAGGTGGCTGCAGTTGGTGAGGATGTTGGTTGCACCACACCCTGTTGATCAGATAAGACAGCAATAAAGACGTAGGAAAAAAAATCGCTACACTTATTTATGTTAAAGATCATAAAGAAATCTTCATCATTTTCAGTATCTTATTTAAAAAAAAAAAGAATTACCATAGAAGAAGTCCTTTTGGTGCAGATGTAAAAGTGGGAATTAATCTAAACTTGCATTAATGTCTATGCTCGTTTGTTTTGCTCTTTTTTCTTTCTTAATGTTAACTTCATGGGTAACTCTACATGTAAAAATAAGCCCTCAGAGGACGTCGTTTCATTGCAGTGTATGATTTGAGCCTTTTCTACTAGCAAGCAAATCCTTTTTGTCAAAGCTGTAAATAAGCAAGCTGAGCAAGAAGATTTAAAGCAAATGTACACATTTTTGTACCCACACAGAGGTGCCTAGAGGTCCCAGCGTGAACACAAGAACTCTTGTGAAGAAGGCAATGTTGAAATACCTTTTAAAGGAAAGGCCTTGTCTTCAGCGTCTTGTTAAACCTGTGTTCTCTTCACAGCGTGATTTTACATGCTTAAACTGGCGTAAGAGAATGGAAAATCTGTAAGAATTGCTGTTTGTCTGGTTGTTTTCAAAACTGAATCAGTTTTGGTGGATTTTTTAAAATCTGTTCTGGTTTTTAATGTAACTATAGAATAAAAATATGTCAATGCAACTAAGATAGTGTTGCATTGAAGTAGTCAGAATGAGCAGCCAGGGTCAGAGGCAGCATATATTAAGCCAGTATTGCTGCATTATCCTATTGAGTTAACCGTTTAACAGTTGTGTACACTGAATGTTTGTAATGAGTTTTCAGTCACAGAAGTTGATAATTTGACTTCTATTCATGCCTCCTCTCCTGTTGTCCTCACAGTCTGCCATGGTTCACAGATGATCTATAGCAGGAGTGACGATCATAGAATTGTAGAAGCAGAAAAGTAATTTTAAGACAGATAAACACCTATACTGTGGCAATGAATGGGCTAAAAAGAAATCCTTTGGGGGAGGAGGTATGGCTTCTGTGTTTTCAGTTTTGCCACAGTCTTCCTGTGTCTCAGACAGGACACTTTGCCTTTTGGAGTCTGTGTGTTTTAGCCTGTGAAATAGGAACAAGTGTTACTTCATAGGTTTAGAAGTTAATTCCTTATGGATTGTGTCTAAGCATAGTCTGCTTTATTTATCAAGGCTTTGGCTTTCAGTCTGCATGTGGGGCACACTCAGCCCACAGCTCTGATTTAGGAAATTGTGCTGAAATCAAATCTTGTATGGTTTCTATGGGTAATGTGATTTAGCCCCAGAGAAGTTCTTAGCATGCATATCAGAGAGAATGTGGACCTTTCTAACCTGTGCAACCTCCGTTAATAAAGTTACAGTTACTGTTGTTGACCTCTTGTGAAAAGTAGATCCATTTGTGTTTTTATTCTGTGGCCTGAATAGAAGATAAAACAGAATGGGCACTGTTCACTGGACGTGGGAATTCTTCCTTGCTCTGACTCATGTAGAGCAGCAGGGAGGGGGAGGAAAACGGGCTCCACAAACCTGGTATCCAGTTTTGTCATTTAAAAAACCTTTTTGATCTGAACTTTGTACATTTCATATTTCAGAGCGTATTTAGAAGTCTGATAAAAGTCTGTAGTAGTGCTGGAGAAAGATAAGGCTCACTATTGTACTAAAACGGCGCTGTGGTGCCAAGACACTAAACTTATGCTTTTTTGTTGGAGGAGTAACAGTGACTGTCAAACTTTGTATAATTTGGTATTATACAGATTAAAGGAAAAAATACCCAATCATTCTCTAGATTGCCATAAAAAATACTTCAGGCTTAGTATGCAGCTATATTGCAAACCAGTGCTTCACAGCAGCTGGGAGAAATACAGTGTGGTGAAGTTACCAGTGGGGTGGAGGCCAAGATTTTTTTGTGTAGAATGGAAAAGATTCTTACTTTTTTCCCATTATATTCAATCATTATCCTGCCAATATGTTTTCTGATGTGTCTTGCGGAATTTCATGATAGGTTTTCAAAGCTGGATGAAATTTTCTGTTCCACCATTGTGGTCAGTCAGTTTTTAGCATGCATGAAAGAAGCAGCGTTGCCAAGTTTTTCTTTGAGCCTGTGAAGTCAGAGTCGCAAGGAGTAGGACAAAGCCTCAGTAAGCTTTGGGAGCTAATGGGGAATTGCAAACTCTTTGTTTATTGCACCTGGCACTTTCTCAAAATCTGCTTCATAGGGGCCAGACCACTCATTTCCTCAAGCAGATAAGGAGGATGCTTTCTCTCCCTGAGTCAAAGCTCTGTGACTTTGTAAATAAGTCAGGATAAATGTATATTTTAAGGGTACTTTCTAGAGGGATTGTAGCTAGCACATTGCAAACTTTTATCTCAGAAAGCCTCAGAACTCCAGGACTAGTTAAACTGAATAAGTTAAAAAGAACTATAGACTTAAAACCCACATGCTATCATAACGGCTAAGACATGAATTGTACCTGAATTGTCTGAAATGATATTTTTAAGCGTACTAAACAGGTATTAAAAAAAAACAAATTCCTGCCCCCCTCCTCAAGAGCATTCTAGTGGTTTTGATACCCATGGCAGAAACTGGGGAACTTACCTGTTTGAGCTCTGTGAGGAAATGTGCCCCCCCCCCACCCTCCAGGTTATTTCAAGGCAGTAAGTTGGGACACTTTTACACAAGTTTCTCAATATGTAGTTTTTTTATTTCTACTACTGATGTGATTTCATGGATCTTGTTTGATACACGTAGTCACAAGTGTTGGTCTGTCAGATAAGGCCCAGGAGTGAACCAGACCTTCATTTTCTTGTCTGTCTTTTTTTAAATCTTCATTCTTAGGAATTAATCCAGCAGATATAAATGTGGAAATAATTCTGTGTAATCTTCTGCTTTAAGACAGCCTTTCCGAGATTTGGACAATGCTGAGCAACTGTGTTAATCTTCCTTCAGGCAAATGGAAGCAATTCTCTATAGAGTAGAATCCACTGATTGATTGTTGAAATTTAAGCTCTATTTTTCAGAAAATTCCAGTGTTTTGAATTCATGTTACCACCATGCATTAAAATAAGATTTTTTAATACAGTTACCCTGTGCAATTGTTTTAACTATTTTATATTATAATTTAATGCAAAAGTCAAAACACTTCAACTTTCATGTATTAGACTATAACTAAAAGCAAAACAATGGCATTTAAACAAAGGGCTCTAACTTTTCCAAAACTAAATATGAGTATTTAATGAGTCAAATGTTTTAAGCATATTACCTTAAAAAAAAAGTTTTAAGAAAATGCTGATTCCGCAAAAACATCGAAATTCTAATTATTGTTTCTCTGTTTTCTGCGAAAATATTTACTTTCTTGGCAGTTTTGAATTCAGCTTTGTGTGACATCACTGTAAACACACGAATGTTGTAATACTGATTTTAGTAGGAATGGCTCGGATGTCTTTTAACACAAAACATAACTAACCTGAAATTTCTTGATGGGAAATCCAACACGATGGAACAGACTTCAAAGTCTCCTATGAGAAATATGCCAGAAGCAAAACATCTTAGAGCATACTGTAGGGGGAAAAGAATGGCAGCTTTTTGTGCAAATGTACAAGTTTGATAAGCCCTTTCATATTCATTGTCTGTGATTGAATTTTGTTTTATTTCAGCCTGAAATGAAAGCTTTATTCTTCAAGGGCAATAATGACATGGTTTTTGTAACTCCTTAGCTTTCAACAATAGTGTATAATATTTTGGTTCACCATTGTGTTAAAACTGTGTTTTTCTAACTGCTGTGGCATAATGATTTATTAGTGTTGACACTCAAGGGTTGTTTGTCAAAAGCTCAGGTTTTGCTCCTTCTGGCAGATTACATACGAATTATGCAAATCACTATAGTGCAGATTTTAACCTAATTACATTATACATCTTGAACAATGATAATTTCTGTAAGGGAAAGATGTCTAGCACTTTAGTTGCTAATGTATTTTTTCTTCTTTTGGTATTCTACAAAAGAAGCCACATTAAAAAGTGATAGTATGTGTTATAACAGGTTTTGCTGCTGTGCAGGTTGTCTGCTTGTGCTGCTAAGGTATATGAAAGCTGATTTTTTTTTCAGGGCCTTAACAATCTCTTTATAAGAATTAGCAGTAAACTGTGGTTTCACTTGCAGAATTTGCTAGAGGACTAGAGAAATTTAATTTCTTTCTTTGTGTATAGATGCACACATGCCTATACATTTTATAGAATTGGCCAGCTCAAATAACTACTGGATTAACAACAGTGATCAGAGTTCTGTGTTCACATACCTTAAGACAGGCTTGCCATCTGTAGAGTTACAGACTGAAATGCAGATCAAGTCAATCCAGACAAAGTTCACCTACTGAAGAAATTAGTCTGAGTTGTGGTCCACATAATCCAGAGCCCAAGGAGACCCCTACTAGCCTAGCTTCCCTACCAGCACAGAATAAGGACCAGACTATGCCAAACAAGTCAGGGTTGAGGTGTGTATGTGGCAGACCAAGACTGGGAGTTGTCCTTTATCATATCTGAGGTTTGAAGAAAGACATCTGATTTCAGGACTGTCAGCTCCTAATTTACACACATGCATGCACACTTAAGGCTTATTTTAAAAAATAACCTTCATGTCACCTAGGTCCCATTTAACTTTATTTGCATGTCAACAGGAGCTGAGAAATCTAGCTGCATTTTTAAGCTTCGTGGTTCTTGTTAGACACTGCTCATTTAATTGAAGATTTTACACCGAGTTTTACATAACATCTCGCAACGATCCAGCAGAAGTATAAGCAATGTGACATAGTTCATTTGGGCTGCGTGTCCTTGTGTTGTATTGCTCACACCTTATTAGTCTTCAGCAAATGTTCCACTTTTCTTTAGTTTTGGCAAGCTGCTCGGAACACCATTTCCTTCTTTTCATTCTGGTGGAGTCCGATTGTTCTTTGCTTATACTACATCAGCCTTTCCCAGAATTTAGCCTGGAGTTTTTATACACTGGGGAGTTTCCAGTGTGTTTAGATTTCCTAATGTGACTGCGACAGAACCATGCTTTCAGATAATACTGTCAAACTCTATTTTGGTGCTATTTTTCTGTGTTTCTTTGCAGTATTTTGCTCTGCAGAAATGATGCGAGCAATCATTTTGTCTCCTGAAAGTGATATTTTTCAAATCATCCTCCCAAACAGTTAAGATTGTCCCAAAACTTTTTCTTGTTCTGTTTTTCGTTAGGTTTGTGTAAATCAATTGGCGTAAGCAACTTTCTTATCAGCCATCTTGAGCAACTAAAGGAAGACTGTGTGATTACTCCACATGTTAATCAGGTGAGTGGATAAATGTATTTAAAGTATCTGAGTTTGGGTTTGTACTTTGTTTTTTTGGTGAACGTCCCCACCCCTGTGTCTGAAAGGCTACACCCAAACTAGCTTTAGTCATACAATTTCTCCTTTTTTTAGCATGTACGTACTGAAAACCATTCAGGAAGATGACCTGAAGGGAGGGAAGTCCTTCCTTCTATTTTCCACCCCAGTTTCTCCCAGCCTACTTGTTTGTGTCTGGTTTTACGACACAAACAAATGATCCCTGGGGCAGTTTTTGATAATAAAACAATCAAGAAATAAAATTCAAGGAGCACTGAACATGTAGCATCTCTAGAGAGAGCAGGATTTTGGAAAGCCTGTGTTCAAATGCTTTTGTACTTCCTCTAAGCAACACTGAAAGCCTCAGGTAATTACATATCCGTGCAAGGGTGCTGTTTCCCTTGCTCCCCCCTTATTTCCTATTTCAAGATCACATTAAATTCAGTGAAGTCCTTGTTTAGGCAGGTGCTGTGACAGCCCTGGCAAAATTTTTTTTGCTGCCCTAGGCAGATCTAAAACGGCCACCTACAGACCGGCACACTGCCAGGGCACTTGACAACTCTTCCCTTGTTGCAGGTTTCTGCCTCCAGCTGTGCTGGAAGTTCATGCTCCCATTCCTACCATCTCCTGCCAGAGAAAGTGTGCTTGTGCTAACATGGACGTGGGAACTGGAATGGATGGAGTACAGGCACACGCTTTTCCCCTTTGTACAGGTGGTCAGGATTTCTGGCAGCTGTTTGTGGTTTAATGTCTTTAACAGCCATAGAAAGGTTGCTCAGAGTGTGACTGTCAGAACCAAGCAGCTCTGATTTTAGCTGTCCACTAGACAAAAGGTTACTAAGGGGCAATTGTGAGTAATGTTAAATTAGCATAAACTCATATAAAATATTTAAATTCAGTTACTCAAAATAAGCCATTGAAATATGTGTTAAGATGGGCAGGCTGATGACTGTTTAAGAATCTGTGAGTTTTCCAAGGTTCAAGAAATGCACGTCTACGAAGTCTTGCTAGAATTTGGCACAAGCTATTACTGCCTGTTAAATGAGAGTTGTTGTTCAGTGTCCTACTAAATCACTGCAAAGAAAAAAAGTGTATTCTTGAATTTGTTTTGAAATTTCCTCTTACTCACAATGTCCAAATGTTACCAGTCTTGCTGTGTCAGTAGTATTCATGGAGACAAGTTGTTTCTTGGTCCTATTTGACAGAATTCTTTTTCTGTGGCTGAAGAAAAGGAGACAGAGTTGAGGTGGTGGTGATACTGGGGGGTGGGAGAGTTATTTCTTTAAGGTGATGCACAGCAATGTTCTGAATTTAATACAACCACCATCAATGAAATACCCATGCCACTGCAAAGCTCTCCACTTTGAACAGTTTTGTTATGGCATTAATTTACACCTTTTAGATTTATGGAAATCTTGTAAACCATACTTCAGGTTATCCTCAGAGTATTTATTCTGTTTCTTGCTTAGTGTTGGAGAGTTACTGAGTCTGATGGTGAGATTACTTAAGCACCATCAAATAACTAATGAATTCCTCAATTCAAATTGGAACTGGAAATGCCGTATTGAGTTCCTATTTCACTTTCCACAGTTTATAATACAAATATTTTGCTATATTTATGCATAAAATAGTGTACTCTTTCAATGGACTTATTTCTAAATACAAAACATTTGCAAATAATCACTGTATACAAAGTCTAAATATGTAAAAAAGCAACTGGAAGAAAATCACTTCCCTTTTAGAATTTAGGGTGTTCTTACAATTCCAACAGTTCTTATGATGCTAAAATTGAAAGTTGTTTTTTCTGTGAAGAGGAGGAAGTAGGAAGGCAGGAGAAGTAAGCAACACGTCTGTTTTACAAACCAAGTGTTAAGTACTGCTTTCTTCTCAGTTCCTGGAAAAAAAACCCTTATACCATTGTGGCTTTTAAAGAAGTAGGAAAGGCCTGTCTTTTCAAGAAGATAGTATTATTAAGGTATTTATTACTAAGCAAGCATCTTTTAAAATTACAATATATTATTAAAAGTACTGCTAAACACTGTGTAAAATGATGGAAAATACTTTATCATATAGAATGAATCTTATAACCTACAAGTTTCAGGTTTGTGTTCCAGAGTTTGTAATTGACTTGGCAGTAGTAAGTTTGGATTTATGCTCAAAGAAATCTTTGAAGTCTCTTTGAAGGCTCATAGACCTGTCACTCATTAGGGTAAAAAATACATTTTATAAGTATTTAATTAATATATATGTTTCATTTAATAAAGTGATACACTGAAAGCAAATATAAACTGTCCCTCTCTGAATTCCATGTAGAAATGCTCATCATATTTTTTTCACTCTTAGAGAGGTGCTTATTACTGTGTAATACTTCAGAGAGATTTAGCAATGTCATTGATATTGCCATTAATATTGAGCTCATTGTGTAAATTTGTACAAGGCAGAAATGTATTTAAGGCATTAGGAAACAACACCTTTGTACATAAACTCACCTGAACTGTTCCTCTATAGAGAAAATATTTATAGGCTTGTATTTCAGTTTTATAAAGAGAAATAATTGTAAGACTCAGCATTCCCATTGAGAAAATTACTGGATTCCAGATGCAGGGAAACATTACCAGGTGAAAAGGATCCACAGCAGGGTGGAAAGAGTAAGGCTTTTGTGTACCATCATCCGAGGTATGACTTTCTAGGGCCATGTGTCAGGATTGTTATTAGACTCAGCTTTTCCCCATTTTGCTATGTCTGTTGAAAAAACAGCACTTCAGTTAGAGGTCCCCTGTTGGGCCCCCTGACCAAGTAGCAGCTGTGAAAAGTTCTGTAATGTGAACTGCAAAGTGTTTTATTAAACAAATGCCAGTTTTTACGCAGAAATCACTCAGGGTAGAGTCCCAGAAAAGATCAAGATCTTCCTCTGCCACTGTGTGATGGACAGCCCTCGCCTCAGAAAAGCCTGGTGACTAAAATGGCAAGGGTGGGGCAAGGCAGGAAGTAGGAATTATTACTTTGAGGGGAAGCACATGCTGGCCACTCACCTTATGCCTCTTGTAGCTCAGGATCCTAGTCCCTTGCATTCAGGTCCTACAAGGACCTTCCAGAATGTTTTCAGAAAAAAAAATTCCAAAGTACTTATTTTATTGTATGCGTTTGATTATTTTAGTAATATATTTAAGAAGGAAAATACTTGCTGCTACTAACACAGAACTGCTTGTGCCAAAACTCATTTCACAAAATTTGGGAGACTCCTGGTTCAGTGAAAGGCAGAAAGTATAATCTTCCCAGGTGGGAAGTAGTTGTTGCTGTGTATTCGGCTTGTGAAGGAGGCAGGGGACATCTCAGCATGCTGCTCTTGCTTTAAACATGTCTGGTGTAGCCTGGAACTGTGCTGCCCAGAATCTTACTAGACCAGCAGATAAATTTTGCTTGCAGTTTTATATTAGTAATAAATGCCAAATAAGTCATATGATGCCATAGGGGCACTGCAGATTTTTCAGCATTTGATCATAAATACATCCTTCTTTATTTAATATTTTCTAAGCCACAATGTTTGCTATACTTAGTGTAAAGAATGTCTGCTAAAATTGCTTATTATTATTCTTGTAACAGTCAAGTAGTACACTCTGCTTGCTCTTTCGTTTCTCCCCTCATAGTTTTGCGTAAATACAATGAGAATATTTTGTCGTCAGCTCAGGTGCAAACAAGTGAATAATCATATGACCTAAACACTGCTCTTACACGTATAAACATGAAATACAAAGGGTACTCAAAGGTCAAGAAACATCAAAGGTTGAAGACATGGATGTCTGCTGCTTGAACCTTGTTTCCCAGTCCACCTAGTAATTTAGATCATAGCGGCTCTAGGCTGACTCAGCCCAGCCTTCCAGGGGCACAGTTTTTTCTTAGCACATGTTGAATGACTGCCAGCCTATTGTTCTGACTATTGTTGTCTGCAAAGACAACATGTACTAAAGATGAGAAACAGGAAATGTTCATTTTTCCTCTTTGTGGCAGAAGAAATTTTCCAGATTCCATGTGTTGAGGTAATTGTTCAGAAGAGTATTTTTCCTCAAAATGCGCAAGAGTTCAATGCCTGGAACAATGGTGATGACTAGTCACAAAAATACATAACATGATCATGTATTTTGTAAAAGGAAACACTACCCATTTTCATCTGAATGCAGAGGAAGGTATGCTTCTTAGAATGTGTAAACTGTGAAATGCTTATTTAAATAACATATTAAGGAATATTACAGAGGTTCTCTTTTGGGTTTAGCTACATGCCAGAATACGTGGCTCCTCTGAGATCCTTACTTTCCAATAACTTCTGTTTCCTTTTGCTCCCAACAACTGTGTCTTTGTAGCTTGTTACTTTTCTGACTGGCTCCTGGCAATTTGTGACCTACCTTCCTACAAAGGGGCCCCTTCACACTTGATTCCCCAGCAAGATTGCTTCCCTGCATAAGCTTATGGTGACAGTGCACACAGAATACAGCATTTTCCATCTACAATCCATGCCAACAGGTCAGGCCCTCATCCTAAGCAAATTGTTCTGGTTGGTCTCTTGCAGACCCAGTCCCTGCTCAGCCCCCTCCCCTTGCCTGTGCAGCTCAAAGATGATTGGTAAAGGAACAGGAAAGGACACAGATTTGGGGAAGAGAAGGTAGTCTCAAAGCACCAATAAAAATGACCTGACCGGGACTTCCACTGTGCATTGGCATGTATTTCTCAAACACAGATCAGAACAATAGTGCGAGTCCAACTGTAAGTCAGGCAGACAAGTCAGGCTCCTTGCACCTTGCTTCAGAGGGAAACATAAAATACACAGGAAACTGTTGTGCCAATTACAGGCAAAAGACTTGTTGATTAATATATTTCATATGTCTTCTAAAACTGATAATTTACATCTGCTTCCCAGAAACAGTGATTTCACTCATGTTGTATTTTTAAAACAAGAAAGAAAAAAATATTTTCATTTATCAGTGATGTTTTTACAGAATGTACTCTGGAGGTTTTTACTAGAGGTTTATTTCTGTTTATCTAAGGTTGAATACCACCCTTTCCAAAGACCTCAGGAGCTGGTTGATTATTGTAAGAGCAGAGATATTGTCTTTGAAGGCTACTGTCCTTTGGCCAAAGGGGAAGCACTAACTCATCCTACTATCATTCAGATGGCAAAGAAGTATGGCAGAACTCCAGCACAGATTTGCATACGCTGGAGTATACAGGTAATGGAGGGTGGTAATAAAAATGTGTCTCCTTTCTCAGGAAAAAATGCAAATAGTTTGGGTTTTGTGCAGAATTTATACAGACAGTATTTCTACCTTCCGTATGTTGATACTGTGTGAACTAACTGCTGTACTGGAAATTTGGAATGTCGTAGGCAAATCATGCTAGTATTTTAAATATGCAAAGAATCTGATTCTAGAGAATAAGTACTAATAAGAGATGTTTTCAAAGTAAGTGTTACAAGCACTATCAGGCATCATTCCATTTCTGTCACTCAACACAAAGTACTAAGGAATGAAATAGTGTGTTAAATTGACATAAACCGCATAATCTGTGTTGGAAATTAATGCAGTGTATAGAACTGCAGTTGCAAATGGCATATAGAAATGTCAGTGTCCCCAGAAAAATGAAATTAAAACCTCAAAAGACATGAGGAATGTCTTGAAATGTTTTGAAGAGAGATCATTTTCTTCAAAACTGTGTACATTTTAATGATAAGAAGCATTATGTTTTCCAGAATGGGATTGTCACTATTCCAAAGTCAACAAAAGCGGAAAGGATAGAGGAAAACTGCAAGGTAAGATTTGGTTATGCACTCAAGTCTGACTTACATCCAAATAACAGATTTTAATACTTTGGCTTGCCTGCCCATTTTCCTATGCCAGTTTTATACTGGGGTAACTCAGTTAAAACTGGCAAATGATGGTACCATAAAATTACTGCAGAGTAGTAGAAAACTGTAACTCACAAATATCCGAAATCAACCAGAGAGCTAATCGCTGTGTATAAAGAAAAATACATAAAAGACCTTTTGTAGTTGGTTTTTATTATTAATATTTTTATTTTTGACTTTGCTGGTTGTAGAACATCCTACTCTGGTTATGGTTCAGTCCTTTTTGTGATAGGTACACGGGTCAAATGGAAGGAGCTGTGCATAACACTATGTGAAAGCTGTAAAACTCACTTAGGGTTCTCTCTCTGAGATGGAGACCTTCCAAGGAAATCGCAGTCTTGCCAGAGCTGACTCTTCCCCTATCTTCTTCCTTCTACTCAACATGCAGAAAAGGTCCCAGCATGAAGGGGATGGACAAAGAAAAGAGGGCCCAAATGAGGATTGGCAGCATGATTCCTCCCCCGCAGCCTTTTTTTAATTTCCTTTTCATACCAAATGGTTTTAATTCATTACTTGATTTTTCTCTCTGTTTCTCTAATCTGAAAGTGTGCTTTCTTTGGGGGAGGTGAAACCACAACAACCTTATTGTTACTTCCAAAAATATCATTGGGGTATGCACTGTTTAGCAAATCAGGAGGAAACTTTGCAAGACAGGAAACTTCTGTCTCCTATTTTTACCAGTGTGTGTGTGTGTGTGTAGGTGCAAATGTATACATTTAATGAGGATTTCTGCTGGTGGCCATGCCTGTTTATATAGCTCCTGCCTTGATTATTTATTCTGACATGCACACAGCCTTCTGTGGTACAAGCACAGCTGCTTGTGGTACTGTAGTGTGAACCAGATCAGAGAACAAAACCAGGTTAAAAATCCTTCCTTATTCTTTTTATTTTATTCTCCCCGATGATATTTTAAATCCAGATTAATTTTATTTCTTACAGAGTTTACTCTGTGGCACCGCCAATTAATTTCACACAACTGAGGGAATGTGTTGCAGCAAAACTTAAAACACTTAAGATGGAGAGGAGGAGGGAAATGGCACAGTTATCGAGTGTTGTTTATCACATTTTCTTTCTTTTCCCCATGCCAGTGTGTTGGCCTGAGTCTCTACCACTTCTAGTCAAATTGGTGAAAGTACAGTTCTCATTTAAGCCTCAGTATATAATATATAGGTTTCTAGTTGTGTGACAGGTCCCTGGTTTAGGTTTAAAAGGCTGAAGTGAGCACTGAGATTTGACTACAAGGGTCATTCCAGCAGACAGTGATTGCTGGATAATGCAGGATGGGAGGAGCTCATTTGGCAGCAGTTCAGGACCCACAGGATCTTTTTATTGAACATGGGAGAGCTCTGACAAAGACAACAGAAGCAACTTTCTGATGATAATGTCTGAATAAGACATCTACTAAGAAACCACTGACACCGTAATTCCATGTTGCAGGTCTTAGCACAGGAGAAGCCAGTGGCTGTAAGAACCTGTGCATGAGGACAGGTGATTGCTTTCAAGTTCAAGTTAGTACTGAGGCACTGTAGCACTGTTTCTGTGTTAGCTGATCTATGAGTGCTTTGTCAAAGCAGAATCGTAGAAAAGATAGATACAGCCTTTGGTGTGCTAGCTTTGTGAATGTCCTGACACTTTCTAATAATTTTTTCGGGGTAAAGGTCTGAGGAAAAGAATTGTAACATTCTAGACTGAACATTGGGATGTCAGTGAAATACGGAGCTCAGGTTCCCAAAGGGATTGCAGTCAGGGTATTCCTATTCCTCTAGCAGTGACAATATACAGTCCTGTCAAAAAGAGCAGCTTTGATACTACTCTTGTCTTGGACCCTTGCCTGAGGCCAGAGTGCTACAAAACCATCTTAACAGAGTCTACAAATAAAAATGAATCACTCTGGAGCAAAGGACCCAGTGGAGCCTGTCAGTTTAATGGAGTGTTTTTCTATGACAAAATATAAGAAGAATTTCCAGAAGGAAAAGTTTAGAAAACTTCTGCCTCACATTTAAATGAATCTTGGTTAGTCAAATATCAGAATTTATATCAGGTTGCTGCTTCTGTCTGTGCTCATGAAGTTAACTATATATACATTCCCATAGGTGTTTGATTTTACAATAGCAGATGATGATGTTGGAATTCTGAATAGAATGCATGATGGGAGACACGTTTCCTGGGATCCAAGCCTTATTGAGTGAACAAAGGTTTGAACCTTTTCCTTCTCAGTGATCAGTGAGTCACACCATGTAATTTAAATTCAAGGAAGGTTACAGTATGAATGTAATCATGATAGTAATGTCTGCTACTAATGATAACTATTTTGAAATCCTTAACATTGAAAACACAGAAAAGATATTTTTGAGGGTAGCACTTTTTTACTACCCTCACAGAGATTTTATATTCCCATCTCAAATCCTCCTCCCTAGTTCACTTAAGCCTATGCAAAGACTGTTGTTTATACCATTGACCCTGCATCAGGCCATTTATCAGCATGATGAGGTATCCCTTCTTGAAAATGTAGGGAAAAAATGCTACCTGATAGTGTATAACACAGGTGTTAAGTATGAAATAATTTTTCAAGTACTTTGTTAGAGGTAGAATCTACAAAGAAGAAAAGGGTGGGTGAAAAAAAAAAGTATCATAAAACAGTATTTATGTTGTACAATAAACTGCAAATCTCCACCAAAAATACAATCTCACTGTAATATGCAATATCTGAGCATCACAAAAAAAAAGGTTTATGCATTTGGCATTGACTAGGAGAGTTCTATGCATATTACTTAGTAGCCTGTAGATATAACAAAGTAGAAATCTTTCCAGAGAAGTCCATTTACTAATAAAGTATCTGCACAGCTGAGTTGAACAGTGAGCTCTGAGAGCCAAAGAGGCATCTTCGTTATTACTTACAGAAAATTCTGGTAAGCTTTTTGTGAGAATTAGGTTAGCTTTCATTTTGGGTTTGTCCAGGAAATCTCATTAACAGACTGTACTGTTCCTCAGATTTTTTTATAAAATGGCTATCTATATAAAGAGATAAATAGAGATACGTGTAGTTTACAGATCTGTTTTGAGAAATATGCCTGCATAGTCTATTGGCTGAGTAGTCAACTTCTAGTTGCTTTGGTTTGATATTTTAGGAGTTCCTGTGTCTAGAAAGAAGGTATGGAAAATCTGATTATGATTTATATTGTGTGTGGACTTCCTGAGGCAGTTTTCCCAGTGCTGTTCTGCTTTAGTCTTATTGTGAAACAAAGCTCCTCAGCTTTTTTATCAAGAAGTGACTTACAGCAATCATATACTCTAGCCTGCATTGTATGTCCTCAAAGTAGAGCTTGGCTAAAATACAAACAAACTTACCTTTTTGATAACAGCTCCTCGGAGTATTTGGCTAGTTTTTCCTAGTAAACTTTTCCATAAAAATTTGTCTAGATTTGCCTCTGAAACCATTAATATATTATTTATTATTTAAAAAAAAAATATGAAATGCTGCTCACTAATAGCTGTACAGTGTAATGTTCTGAGACAGATACACAACCTCTCCAGTAAGGCTGTTCTCTGGAGTTTCAAGCTTGGCCTGCAGTCTGGGAATGCCACTTTAGGTGTCTAAGAACAGCTACATACCTGGCTTAACTGTTGTGATGAGGGGTTCAATAGTTCCAAAAAGTAAGGCTCATTTATAAAACTAAGGTAACTTTTGACTTTTTTTAGCTTTTGCAGAAAATGATGGCAATGACTAAGTGAAAGTTGGAAAGATTGTCCAGAAATAAACCTTTCTACCAGTGGCTCTCAGCTAATACTACTTTTGAAAAGTCACTTTATTGAACAACACCTTAGCAATATGGAAGAAAATTCAAACTGTGCTGTTTAGGGAGTCCTTGCTTTACAGTGTATCTGAATTCATAAAATGAGGACTAGAAGTGAGTCATGTGCCTAATACTCAGTGTGGCTTTTTTGATAGTTAAGACTTTCAGAAATTACAAAAGATAAGTCTGAGTTTCACTTCTAGTTCTCTCTGAAAAAACAGACATCACATCAACATACTACTCCCAACATGAATGATTCATACTAAATCTTTATATATCCTAGCAAATTCTAGCTCCAGTATTACCAGACCAGGATCAGTTAGGCCTAGTTATGTGGCTAGAGGTCCCATGTTGGTTATAACATGGGTTTTTTGCCCTTAATTCTGACTGATGACCTCCCTTGTTCTGAGCTAAATGGAATTTAAACAGATTTTCCTGGAAATGCCCCACATAGGTGACTTTAGGCTACAGTGAGGATGGCTTTGAATTCATTAATATATTTCACTGTCCCTTCTGTCCAAGAGATTTTAGAGTAGGTTTTTGTGTCTGCATCTGCTTTTGCTAGGAAGTCAAGCCACCATTTTCTTAATCTAGGTCATGGTATCTAAGCAGTGCAATGAGTAATGAAGGGAATAATCAGAAATAGTATTACTAAAAAAAGCACTATTCTTAAGGAATAGCTGTGGCAAGTTACAGTTTTAATCTGATACTTTTCTAACTATATTCACTCCTAACTGTTGTTGGTTCAGGACTTTTTTTCTGTGGTGTTTTTTTTTCCTCATTATTATTATTATTATTTTGTAATCTTTCCTAGCACTTCCTTTGCTATCAAGCAGTGGCTTTAGAAGTACAGAAGAGTTTAATTTTAACTATGTACAAGGTCAAGTGTAATTTAAGGCGAAAATAAGCTTTTTCAGTGCCAGGACTCAGCTGACCCAAGCTATCTTTCTCCCAGGTGTGATGAGCAGTTTTGCGCATTGTGCCTCACTAAGAGCCATTGTTTTCTTCTAGAAGCTATTAATTGCCCTAGGAGACTGGAACCCTGTTATCTCCTGTGTCCTTGAGATAAGTCACTGGAGCCTCTTCCTTTGAATACGGTATTCACAAGTTTTATACTGTGTTTGTTAATTAAGAATCATTGAGTAAGTCCTCTTTTACTTTTGGTGAGGTTGCAGAGGGAAAGACAGAATCAGTAGATTCGTATTTTATGTTCCTCTCCACAACTAAATTGGCATAAGTCTTGTGGTAAGAGATTTCAAGTAAAGGCTGCTGAAGAATAAGTCCTCATCACCTCCTCTAAATGAACCTTTCTAAAGTACTGAGAACATTGATCAAAGAAATAAGACAACTAATAAGAAATTAGCAAGTGAACAGTAGCGAGATTTAGGAGTGGCAGGGAGGAGTGATGTTTGGTAATAGAAGCAGAACATAGAAGACCAAAAGGATATAAAAGTGCTGAACATAGGAAATTGGGAAGTTTAATTCCATTTTTTAATTTATTCTTTGGTCAGCCTGGAGGTGCTCATTTTTTAAGGTTTTGTTTTATTTTGAACTCAGAATTTATCCCTCAAGTGAATTCTTGGAATTATATGCATATTCTTCCCCAGGGTTGAAATTCCTCCTCTTGCTCTTATTTCTGTAAAACAAACTTTCTCTAAAGAGAAAACTTTTTCACCTTTCTACAATGACCCTTTTTAAGATACAGCAATGCCTCCATTTCATCCATGTAACCCATCATCTCGTCAATAGGATCAGGGAATGCACCAGAAAACTGAAGTCACTTTTTTTTTTTCCCCTATCATGTAGGTCATTTATGGTAGTGACTGATTGGGGCACTCCTTTTTAGTTGAGATAAACCATTATTTAAAATAAGATACAATTTATCAGTGTCATCTACCTAAGTGCAGTCAGCTGCCTTTGCAGGAGCTCTGTGACTCCTAATGGAAGAGGACTCTCTTGAAGCATATAAGGAAAAGAAATATATAAACTAAAACTCAGTGGAAAGTGTGAGACCATTTTCAGTACAGCCAAGTAGCTTCTAATGAGTGGCTCCCTCTCTTCTTTTTTCTTGCTTCTTTCTGATTTTCATCTTTTATATTACTGGAGATAAAGACACACAAGAATGTGTCATTGGAAAATAATGGAAATGGGGTTTTAAAGTGCATATTCAAGAATTTTTTTTTATTTGGGCTGCAGAAGTGTTTCTATCACACCTGTCCCCTAACATGGCTTTCAAGGCATTATTTTCTGACTAGCACATGTAATAAAGAAACTGTAATACTAGTAAGTTCACAAATCACCAAGCCAGGTAGACTGCATAATATTTGCCCCATTTTTTGCACTGTGGTTAACCCATGTGTTTGAAAATGGGGATAAAGGTGGCATAGCTCTTGCTGGTACTGATGGAATCTAAGCAGTTAACTCTTTCCACAGTGCCACACCCCTTCCAAAGCTTTGAAGCTCATCTCTGACTATTGTGCATTGGGTAAAAATTACAGATAAGCCAACCCAGCAACTTTTTGTGTTGCTGTGCTGGGAGACTTTTTCTGTACCTAATTTTTTGGCACTTTTTGTAGCCTCCAATAAGATGTCTGTACTTTTGAAAAAAAAAAAAAAGGCCAAGTATTTGCACTGCCTTGTGGTGAATCTGTGTTATATATGAAGATGATATAAATGATGCAGCCTTACTATTTCTATTTATCATTGGCTGCTTGTCCATCTGTAGTATCCCATTGGACTAATTCCAACTATAGGGCACTACGGGACAGTGGTGACTCGTCAGGGACCAGAGCATGAGGACTGTCTCCACAACTTGACAGTGCCTGTTGAAAGAAAAAAGAGGAACACAAAGCCTGAAATTAATTTAACTCAGTGACACTGAAACTGCTTCCCAGTGGTGTAGCCTGTATCCCTCTGTAAGGCACTGTAGGCATGGCCAACATTATGGGATGTGCTTCTCCCAGCAGCTTTGTACTGACCCATTTTACCAGATCTCAGTCGCTGTGCCCAAGAAGAATGTTTGTGATCTCAATAGTGGCTTTGCCAGCCAGCGCCCTTTGAGCAACATTCTGTAGCTGAACTCCTAATAGGAAGTTCCAGAGTATATTAGCAGCTTTATCGTCCTATTAATAATTGCTCCATATATTACAGTGTATTACAGTTTGGGTGCAATGATATCCATGCAAACTATTGCATGTCACTTTCTCAACTACTTCAATGCTCTCCCTTTGGACTTCAGCTTTTCCTAATGTTATATTCATCGTAGGGAAAAAATAAAGTACAAAAATGAATGTAGTAAACGTTTTACATTAGCTTTTTAGAACAAAAAAGGACATTTAATTAATATTAATGATCAATATCAAGAACATAAAAACAGGCCATCTAAGTTAGAGAGTGCTGATACTGAACAAATATGTGTGCTTTAGTCTTTGCAATGTTCTCATCACTTTTTTTTTTCTCCAAACTAGGTTTTTGATTTTAATCTGAGGAAAGAAGATAAGGAATTTTTGAACACTATGAATATCAACAAAAAATTAATTCATCTAACCTATCCCCTGTGGAAACTATAATTTAAAACCAGATTGTTCTAGATTGCAAAAGTGATGCAACTGAAGCATTAATTCATTTTAAACTGAAAAATAAATCTGAATTGTTCTCTTAGATATTCAGAGAATACCTAAGAATTATCACTCAAGAATCAGTATCAATGGTTTGTATTTACTGTTATGTTAACAAATTAATAAAATAATTTGTGAGACCCCTGGTGGCCTAGTGGTTAGCGTGCAGGACTTTCACTGCTGTGACCACGGGTTCAAATCCCGGTCTCCTGGCCTGATGGAGGTCGTTAGCCCTGTGTGGCCATCCATCTATGAGAAGGACACTCTAAACAAACCTACGTCCTGAGGACCTCACTGCCATTGTCCAAGCTCGCTTGGCCCCGGCAGATGAACCTTAGGATTAAAGGGTGGGCTCAGTTCAGCGCAGGCTGTGTCTCACCTAAAAAAATCCATTGCGCAGGCTGGAAAGGTAAAAGACCTTTCCCCAAATCTTCGTTCGCGAAGATGGGCCATTATTATTATTATTAATAAAATAATTTAATTTACTCTTTTCTGTGTTGCTTTCTTACAGATACAGAAATGCTTACATTTTTTCTGCTCTCTGTGAACTTTCTGGTATAGCCCCCCAGTATAGGTTATCTCACAATGTTATAATTTTCTTCTGCCTGCATGTAACTTCATTTGAGGTGTCATTTTAACCAATATGAGCAAATTAGCTTACAGATTTTGAAAAGTATTAGTTACTTAATGGCGCATATAAGAGCATGCTACAATGCATGTAAATTTTGACAAATTATTCAAAATATGGAATATTTGTTCCAGGATTGCAGCAGAAATATGAATCTGACTTTTTCACTGTTTTTTATATTTCTTGTAGTCATGAGAATTTTGGGGGATTCTGGAGGCCACTCTGGATACTTTCTTGGTGATCAGACCTGCTCTCTTGGTACTGTTTTAAGGATCCCTGTTCGTGACCCAGCACTTCAGGGAGGAATGGCTCTCTTTGTGGTCTAAATTGTGTCAGAATGATTAAAAGTACATTTTGCTTATATGGATAAAGATTTTTGAAGGTACAAAAGAATGACGTGTTGAAGACAAATCCTTTGCTAATCTGTCTTGCAGGGATTTTCACTATCTTTCCCAGATGGATAGTGTTCAGACACTCCTCTGATGCAATTGTGAGTTGTCCAGCAGCATTAGCAATGGGAGAGTACAGTCTCCTGGTGGTGTCAGAGGCCACCAGTCTTGGTATGCAGGCATTGGGCGGACCCCAGCTTACAGCTTCTTTTCTGACACGATCAAAGCATTTTCCTGCAAGGAAATTGCCCTGTGACTAGCCCTGCTTCTGCAATCCTCGCTACACTAAGCTGTCATTGGAAATTCCACAAGTTTGATTGTCACAGGCAGTTGGTGTTATGTTGTTGTTGTTGCTGTGCTCTAAAACATGAGTTTCTGCTCATCCTAAAACTCAAGTACCTGGGAGCATATACATACTCAGGATCTCTGTGACCGAATGCCTTTATGCTTGTGGACATGTTGCAAAACAGTTTTTTAACCAGTTTACCCAGGTGAAGCGGCTGTTACGTGTCAGTTCAGTGTTCTGATGTGTGCAGCTCTCCTGCTGGCATTTGACTGAGACCTGCATTCTGGTTATTTCTGAAATGCTGCATGAATAACATTGTGTTGTTCTTTCTCCTTATTCTGACCGTAGGCAATTCCAAGTCAAGTTCTCAAAGGAGCTGTATATACACTGGATTTCTGTATGTATTTCATAGAAGTACAAGCTTCCTTAACAGTGGACCTGGCAGTTGGAGAGGTACTGAGAAAAAGAGTTCTCATTCTGTTGGTGGCTTGTTCTGTTGGCGGGGATGGAGTATAACCCTGGTGTAAACCCCTCGCTGAACACTTAGCAGCAACTACACTTTTGGTAGAGTTGGCTGGACCAACCTGAGTTTACTTGTGTTTCAGCCCTGGTAAGGAGGCTAGAACCTGTGCAGTTTGAGCCATGTTAACCTATCATCTCTGAGCGTTTAGACGGCTTTCAGTGCAAATCCAGCTATCTGGCTTCATTTGGCCGAGAAGAGTGAAGCTGTATTTCAGTTTCCTCTGTTGAGATGTCAAGAGGGCTGTAAATGTGTGTGGTCATCTAATTTTAATGATACTTTTTGTGATACAAATACCCAACCTTTTAGAGTGGAACTGAAATTGCCTGTGTATTTTACCCAGTGCTGCACCTGGGGTGGGGCAACCCCCAGGGATGGAGAAGGACTTGGGAGTGCTGGTGGATAAGTGGCTGGACATGACCCAGCAATGTGAGCTTGCAGCCCAGAAAGTGAACCGTGTCCTGGGCTGCATCAAAAGCAGCGTGGCCAGCACTGAGAGAGGGGATTCTGCCCCTCTACTCCGCTCTGGTGAGATCCCACCTGGAGTAATGTGTCCAGGTCTGGGGTCCCCAGCACAGGAAGGACATTGACCTGTTGGAGCAGGTCCAGATGGGGCCACAAAGATGATCACAGGGCTGGAGCACCTCTCTTTTGAGGGAAGGCTGAGACAGTTGGGTTTGTTCAGCCTGGAAAAGAGAAGGCTCCAGGGTTAGTTTATTGTGGCCCTTCAGTACCTAAAGGAGGCCTACAGGAAAGCTGGAAGAACGTGCTTTTGCAAGAGCATGTAGTGACAGGACAAGGGAGAATGGCTTCAAACTGAGAATACATTTAGATTAGATATTAGTAAGAAATTCTTTACTGTGAGGGTGGTGAGGCCCTGGAACAGGTTGCCCAGAGAAAGGGTGGATGCCCCATCCCTGGAAGTGTTCAAGGCCAGGTTGGATGGGGCTTTGAGCATCCTGGCCTAGTGGGGTGTCCCTGCCCATGGCAGGGGAGTTGGAACAAGATGATCTTTATGGTCCATTGCAACCCAAAGCATTCCATGATTCTATGATTTTACACAGCCTCTGAAAATTAATTTGTTGAATGTAACATCTCTGAATTGGAGTTCTCTCAGTTGGTAACCAGTAGCCCCAACATGAAAGCCTGTACATCTGACTAATGAAACACTGAGTCATTCTATCCTTTAATTAAAGCATGTTCCTTTAATATGTTCCTCTTGCTTAAAATTAGGTGAGAATTACTTCCTAGAGGGAAATGCCCAGTGAATGCACTTTTATTTAGTATTTTCTACATTTAAGCTAAACAAGGGGGAAAGCTTGAAATATCTAGGGTATGTCAGGCAGTTGCAGGGGATGCATATGTCAACCTCAAGCATGATTTATTTCACATGCCTTTTCTGACAGTTGTAACTTAACGGCTGTATTTTCCTCCAGGCTCTCGGGAGGCTAAACATCTTTTCAAGTTTCTAGCTTTGTGGTGGAAGAGTTAATGTCTGTTTGCCAGTGTAATTTATCTGAGTCATTCTGGGAGAGGCGTGGAACAATTGAAGCGTGACTATTAGCATAAATAAGAGAGGGACCCTCTACCCTCTTCCTGAGGGTAGAGTGCTCTTACTGTCTTTCAGAGGAAAGCTGCTTCCCCATAACAACTGCTACTGCTAATTGACCAGTGTGATGCCATGAACTGAAAAACCTGATATATTGAGCTCTGGTGTATTGTGATATTTGTTTGCATTTCAATTTAGAGTTAACAAGAACAGAGTAAGGAAGGAACAAGAAACTTCTGCAGTAAGTGCAACGGTAGATTACCACCCGAGTTAGCATTTCACATACACCAAGGTGCTTTTTCTTTTAAAAGTTTGAAGAGAGAAGGAGTTATAAAACCTAAACTCACTTCTTTCTCTGTCTCTGTGTAATAACTGTTACCACTGTAAGTAGTTGCCATTGCCAATTTTGTGTTTAAAAAAAATTAATTTAAAACTTCTCTTCATATTTTCAAACATGTAGGTATTTTACAGCATCCTCTGAACATGCATAGATTTTTATTTTTTTTTTAATATGAAAACACCAACACCTGGTGCTGTTTGACAGTGGCAGAGTGAGCTTATCCCCCATGGATCAGTGCTGGCTTCTGCCTCTCCAGTGTGCAGCCTGGCACCATCCTTGCCCCATCGGGCCGGTGCCTGCCCGGGGGGAGCCGCTCGTGAGTCACCCAGCGCCGCAGGAGGCTGCAGGCCAGCGTGCGGGTGGCAGCCACCGGGCCTGCCAGGGCAAAAACACACCTTGGTGAAGTGGAAAAATGGAAGAGCCTCTTCCAGGTGTTTCCTTAAACATGACTTCCGAGGTCCTGTGAGAGGCAGGACGGAGGTGGCGTATGGCCATAGCCCTGCTGTGCCTACTCGGGGGGTAAGAAAGCCGGAGGGGCGGGAAGCTGCCCCCGCATCCCCGAGGTGCAGGGACCGCGCTCGGAGCCGGCCGGGCCCTGCCGGCTCCTCCTCGCCCGGAGCGCCGGGCGGCGGCCGCTCCCGGGGCGGGCACGGCTGGGGCGCGACCGCGGCGTCCCCTTCCCCTCCTCCTCCGGCCGGGCAGGGCCAGGGGGTCCCGCGGGGCAGCACTTCGCTGCAGCGCCCGCCGTGCTCAAGCCGGGCGGGGCGGGGCGGCGGCTGGGCTGGGCGGGCAGGTCCCGCACGCAGCAGGGAGGAGTTAGAAAGGAGGATCGGAAAAGGGTGGAGAGCCGGCAGCTGCAGAAACATTAAAACCACCGAGCCCCCCAGCCCGCCCACCGGAGTTGCTCCGCGGGCACGCAAGATGCGCAGGGCCGGCCGGGGCTCCGCGCCGCGCTGGAGCGAGGTGAGGCTCGGGGAGCCGCGCTCCGCCCGCACCCGGCACGGGGGATCCCGGCACTGCGGGTCTCGCTCGGCGCGACCCCCGGGGCCCCGAAACAAAACGGGGGGAGAAGGGGGCTGCCCGGGCCGCGCCGTGCATGGCCGGGGGCTTCGTCCGGCCGAGGTGGTGCGGGACGGGAGCCACGCGCGGTAGAGACCGAACCGGAGCGGGGCGAGTTGGAGCCCGGGAGCGGTGCGGGACAGGAATGGTGCGAGTTTGAGCCTGGGAGCGGTGCGAACTGGAGTTTGGGAACAGAGCGAGGAGTTGAACTCACTGGCCTCCTGCTCTGCCCCGGTTAGGCTGTAATTTAACAACTCTGCCTGCTGTTCTTTTTCCCTTGCATGATACTAGGGCTTTAATTCTTTTTAAATGTCCACTACAAAACCTTTATATGTAAAGGGAGTTTCTTCTATATGTGTATTCCTTAATCATGCCCATTCCAAAAGCTTGCAATACTAGTTATTTAAATGCAAGGGTTTTTTTGACATTCTTTGTTTCAAACCCATGGAATGGGCTTGCGCTGTAGCTTAATTACATATTTTTTTTGCTTTTCTAAACTTTTTACTGCTGTGGGTTTTGTAAAGCATGTTCTTACTTGTGTTTAGCAAGCGCACCCCTTACCTGTTTACAGCTTTGAGATGATCTCTTGTTTACATACACATCAGTGAATTTACCACTGTTTGAGATGGCATCAGTAAATTGCATAACTACCCCCTTCCAAAGTGCATTCAGGCTTTATTAATGGAGGAGAGTACAGGTCTCCTGTCAAGTAATTTCTGTGCAGGCTTTCATACATTTGCAGTTAAATCAAGCAAGCCCTTTCCCTTTCTAAATCTCTGCTGTTGTATTACAAGTTGTGTTTCCTACTGAAAAAAAAGGCTAGAACTTGTTGCTGGGGAGCTTTGAGATCTTTTGAGTTGGAAAAAGTCCAGTAACGCAGTCCTTGCTGACTCCAGTTTACCTGTTCAGCTCTGAGTGACAGAACTTTTTCTGTCTTATTAGCTTTACCTATTGAATATGCCTAACCATCTTTTAAATGTATTTTAGTAGCTGAATGAAACTGATTCACGTGTGAATACCTATATGACTCTGATACACAGTTAAACTAGCAGATTATCTTAAACCTTTTATCATTTTTTACATTGTTTGCCTTCCTTCTTTTAACTCTGGGCTTTGTGCCTCTTGTTCTCAGGGCTGCAGTTTCTGAGGCCGTGCAGCAGCGCCGGGCAGGCTGCGGGGCCAAGGCTCTGCGGGGCAGCCCCCGGGTTTGCGGTCGGTGTCACCGTGCGGTGCCGCTGGGGAAGGAGCGCCAGCCGGGCACCATGAGCTCTGGCACCACTGCCCCGCTGAAGGTCATGAGCAACCCGGCCAACACTGATGTCAACTATGTCATCAAAGAGCATTATAATTACACGGGAAAGCTAAATGAGAATGTGGACAGTGGAATTAAAGTGACGTCGGTGGTTTTTATCATCATTTGCTGCTTTATAATCTTAGAGAACATTTTTGTCTTGCTTACCATCTGGAAAACCAAGAAGTTTCACAGACCCATGTACTATTTCATTGGGAACTTGGCTCTTTCGGACTTGTTGGCTGGTGTGGCTTACACTGCCAACCTCCTGCTATCCGGACACAAAACCTATAGCCTCACACCCTCCCAGTGGTTTGTGAGAGAAGGCAGCATGTTTGTTGCCTTGTCAGCTTCTGTGTTCAGCTTGTTGGCCATTGCCATTGAGAGATACATCACCATGTTGAAGATGAAACTCCACAATGGCAGCAACAGCTTCCGCTCCTTCTTGCTGATCAGCGCTTGCTGGGTTATCTCCGTGATCCTCGGGGGACTCCCAATCATGGGCTGGAACTGCATCAGCCTCTTGTCCAACTGCTCCACCGTGCTGCCTCTCTACCACAAGCACTATATTCTCTTTTGCACAACCGTTTTCACTGGCCTTTTGCTATCTATTGTCGTCCTCTATTGCAGGATCTACTCCATGGTGAGGACTAGGAGCCGCAGGCTGACATTTCGGAAAAACATTACCAAAGCTACTAGGAGCTCAGAAAAGTCACTAGCCTTGCTCAAGACAGTGATCATAGTCCTGAGTGTCTTCATTGCCTGCTGGGCTCCTCTGTTCATCCTGCTTTTACTGGATGTGGGGTGTAAAGTGAAGACCTGCCAAATCCTGTATAAAGCAGAGTATTTCTTAGTGCTGGCCGTGCTCAATTCAGCCACGAACCCTATCATCTACACCTTGACAAACAAAGAGATGCGCAGGGCTTTCATCAAGATTTTGTGCTGCTGCAAATGTCCCGCAGCAGATTCTGGGACCAAATTCAAAAGGCCGATCATTGGAGGGATGGAGTTCAGCCGGAGTAAGTCTGACAACTCCTCACACCCACAGAAGGAGGACGGTGACCATCCTGAAACCATCATGTCTTCGGGCAATGTTACCTCATCTTCTTAGGAATAACCATAGGGGTGTATTTCAGAGCCTTGCTCTGAAGTGGGGGAGCTGAGATGCCTCCTGCTCACAGGAGCAGCATTGGGCTGAGTGAGCAAGTAGCATTAGTTCTAATGAGGCAAACGGTGCAGTTGTGAGGCTGGAGTTCAAGAAATGGGACAGACTGTTCTGGCTTGGAAGTCTTTTTTTCCTGGAGCATGTTTTGTCTTTGCACTGAGGCAGCTCAGGATTGTCAGGCGCATTCATATCCTGAAATCTCCTTAGTAACTCTGAAAGACTGATGCCTTGGTGAAATGATGCCTGGTGTGTGTGAGAGAAAGAGAGAGGGGGAGGAGGGAAAGGGAGAATTAATCTTTTTTTTTTTTTTCCCATGTGAGAAGAATGTGAAGTTTTTTCTCCTTGCAGCAAACCACTGACACAAAGATCTTTCTGTACCGAATTTAGCGGTGGCTCTGGTATCGTTGGTTAGAAGTGTTTGTTTAGCACATAACATGGAAAGAGATCACACAAATATAATTTAGACCACATACAACCATAATTTGGCATCACTTTGCAGAGTTTTTAGTTAAGTCATAAGGTTTAATTTGCAGAGTCCAAAGCTGTTGGGGTTTTATTTAGCAAGATCATAGCTGTGAATTTTTGCTGTCAGTCCATATTACATTTGAAGACCATGAGCTAGGTTCTGCAGTTACTTTCACCTGTACAATTCCATTGACTGCATCAGATTTTATGGAGTAGCTCAGAACAGCATTTGGCCCCATACATTGATTGCCTTTTCATTCTATAGCATTAAATCAACTGCATTATCATGAAAAACGCAAGGTAGAACTAAGTGTCATTTCTCTTCAAGATGACTGAAAGTATACATAATAGTAAAAAATAGTATTGACAACAGCAGGATTTTTGCCTAAGTAAGAAGAGCTAAAAACTGAAGGGGCATTTCAGTGTTAGGTTAAAAGCCTGTCCAAAAGTAAAGATCAGTTGGAAAATCTGAAAAGAGTACCCTGAGTTTCAGAAAAATAAAAGGAAAGTTGAAGTGAAATGACTATAGATAAATGCACTTCCATAACAAAATGCAATACATTTTGGCACATTTTATTAATGTTTATAATTTCAGCAAAGATGTCTGTATTTTATCAATTCATGGAAGAAGTACCTGTCATTAAATTGAATGTATTTGTTTTACAGCATCATTTTTACTCCTCTATTTTTCTAACCTGTTCTAATGGGGTTGAATGTGTACAATGTAAATAAGTTGTTAAGATGCAGGAGTCTTCATGCGCCTAGAGTATTGCTATAACAAAAGTGGTATATCTGGGATAGCTGAGAGAAGGTGACTGATTTACAGTTATTGGCAATTCCTAGAAGTGTATTTTGTAAAGAAAATGTACTGCCTTTGTAGTAAAATTTCCAGTGCAATTAAACTGTTGGATTTTTTTCTGGTTTAAAAAATAGTATTTAAAATGTTTCTGACTTTTATTGTTCAATTTGCACATAGCTTTATTGACTTCTAAACATTAATAAACTGATTTTTTAAAAGATTCTGTTATCAGATTACTAGTAGTTTTGTATTATTGTGGTGGTTTCATGCCAGGTGTATTTTTTTGTTGATAGAAGCCACTGAAAGAATTCCTTGATTTCAGTACATGCTGGGATTAAGTCAGTTCTGTGGGGACATAAAATGCATAATGTCACTTACCGGATCACGTAAAATACAGAATGAATGCTAATCTATAACTTTTTCATCAGGATATGCTGTATTACTGAAATGCCATTAGAAAAATCTCTGGAGTAGCAATCCTTCTCCAACAGCTAATGAAGTACAAACAGAGGGAAAACCAGTTTTACCATGACTGCCTAGAGCAGAATAAGTGAAATAATTCACTTGTTTCACCAGTATGGTTCATAAGTTTAATTCTTACTTTATTGCAAACATGGAAGAATTATATGAAACACTGAATGGTGGCCTCAACTGTGCAAGCACTGCAGCTCCGCTGGGTCCACCAGTGAAGACCATGGCAATGGAGTGGAATAGATGCTGCGTTACTTCTTCCAAAGGCTTGACTTCCATTTCCTCTCTTGCGGCTGTTCCCTCTCAGCACTACTTTTAAGTTCCATGGAGCTCATACAGGATGCAGTTGGAGTGTGAAGATAAACCTCACCTTCTCATACTGTATGTCATCACTGTGCAGGGTTTACTGTGGGAAACGAGAGCCTACTCACCGAGGAAGGCTCTGGGTCATAACCTCACTTCCTGAAGGAAATTCCAAAAATGCCCTGAAGACAAAAGAGTGGAAACAGGCTGGAATTTCTCTCCATCTGTCTGCCTGTACGGAAGGAATGATTTCATGTGTGCTCACTTCCTAGGCTTTTAATTAGTGACCTGAGCAAGGCTGGAAAAAATGGCAAATCTGTATTTGTGCACAAGATAAAGTATCTCTTGGCTCAGGCCTTCATTTGGGCAGGGATGGTGTACACTGGGTGCTGACAGTCATGAGGGAAAGCACTGCTTTGTCCCAGGGATAAAGTCACTTCTGTGCAGAGCACCACAAGTATATAAACCATGAAAGTCCAAGTTAAGCCCTCGTTGTGCTCCCAGTGAGTAAATAAAGGCGATGTACAGGGATGAGGCAATGCACAGGGACATATGGATTTGTAGAGATGTTTTTATCTGAAGGACTGGGGCCCTTCTGCTCCTGAAGCCGTATGGGCATTAAGGTTGTTTGTCCCACATGTGCCAAGGGATGAGCTATATCAGCATGGCTGTGCCACTGACCCCTCGTGACTACCACTGGCCTTTCCGTACTCGTAGCTGATAGCCCACAGGTGAGTCACTTCCCTTCGCTTTGCCTTTGTTTCTGTATCCCTTGCTTATCTGCCCCATCTAATTGCACTGTGGGCCTTCTCGGAAAATGACTGTTTCCCCTGTGGAGGTGACTGTGAGATGGGAGCCCAGTTTTCATAGAGTACTCAAAGCCCTACGTAATTCATGCAATAAAAGACACGCACACACCAGAGTGTGGCACTGGGCCATGGGAAGCATTTCCTACACTCTTGATCATGGTGACTGAAACTGGCTTCCTCCATAGACAGGCCACATCTATGCATGTAGACAAGACTCAGGGAACAATAACTGTAATAAAATAATAACCTTAATAACAGTAAGGGTTCATGCCATGAAAAAAATAAAGACAGGCCATTTTGTACTGTTCCTAACTTCCTGCAGGAGAACTCTGCAGCTCCTTGGCCAGGGCCATGCATTCCCATATACCAGCAGGTTAGGCCAAAGGTCTTGTGCACAGTTTTGAAGGGTGCAATGTAGAAAGCACCATTCCAGCCCCAGCCTGCCTTCTGTGTGCATGGAAAGGGTGTGGAGCTTTGTCCTGGTGTTGGCCATGTGACAAACAGGCAGAGAAAATGAACTGAGGACTGAAAAGGTGCATTATACCAAATGTCTGTGTGAAATAGAATAGCCTCAATTATTCAGAGTAACCTGGCCCTTTGATGTTTATTCTTTTTCCTAGCTGTTCTTCCAGTGCAAGAAATAGAACAGGGATAGAAAATTATCATAAAATCTCTCTGTTGCTTCCCTGGCAACTCCCCGACTAGGTATGCCTCTGTGAGAGCCAGTTGTAGCAGGGTGTACATTGGGCAACAGAGGGGCTGCAGCCCGAATGCCCCACAGACAGCTCAGCAGGAACTAACCTTGAGCATGCTATACACTACAGGCAGCCAGGACTAAAACTAGGGAACAGAAAGATGTAAAAATACTGGTATCCATCCTTTTCTTACTCCGTCAACTAAGAAATTTAAGGATTGCCCAACTGTAACATTTCCTATTTCCTAATTAGGCCTGGAAGATCTCAATACTGATTCAATTTTGTATGGTCTGAGGCATTGTCAGATGTTGTAAAAAGGGTCAAACTGACAAAGCACCCAAAAATGTGGATATGCAAACCAGAGCTATGTAACCTGCTCAGCTATGAAATGCTGGAAATTCCCCAATGAAATTTGCTAGGAAAACAGCTATTGTGTTTCAATAATTCCTTATACTGTTTTTCTTGGAAAATGAAATTAACCCAATACAACTGAACTGTCAAGATTTAAGAAACAAAAAAACCCAAACAAAGTCCATCTAAGTTAAGTTCCTGTAATCTGCTTTCACAAACTTTTCTAGTCTCTTACTCTGCCGAAAAATCTTATTTGGGAGTGAAGCGGGAAGTGTTTCCTTGCACTTGGACCTTCCGTGCTACCTTCATGGGACAAAAGGCAGGAAATCCCATCAGCCACACCCAGGAATGCTCCGGCATGGAAAAGTCCTAATAAAGCAGAGCTCACAAAGCTCCGTCAACCCTCTGTGAACCTTCCACCAGCCTGGGTTAGTACTCACATAATGGAAACCTGATACAAAGGCCAATATTTATTTTGAGCTTTTGTGAATTACTGCTTGGAGAAGACCCATTTTTAGGTGCACAGTACAGTAACTATACATAAAAACGGCTCATCAGAAACATGTGTGACCAAAGCCACCTTAAATATTAAGATGTGTATGTAGCATTTGCAGCATTTATTCAGAATCACTCCACTCAGCTAAAAGCGGGCTCAAAATACTGACTGCACAGCTTTGAAAACAAATGGACATTTGGAAAAGACAAGCTAGAGGGAAATCACTGAGTAAATACTGGGTTAAAATTATCTGCTGGGCTTTGTGAAATCATTGATGAAAACTGTATCACTACCTGTGACAAATCTGGTGTGAGCCACAGCTGACACTTACAGGTCCTGACCTGAGCTGACTGCTAAAGGTAGTTCTGCTCTCTTAAACAATGATACACTTGGCATAAACCAAGACTTTTTGACTTAGCAGGATACTAATAAAAATTGCTGGTATAGTGTCTCAGACAAATTCTTGCCCACACTGAGCACCTACAGCTGTATAATGTGAAGGTGGGGGCATGAATTGCTTTAAGCAATAGAAATAGAATTTATATGGTTACAGAGAATGTGCAATAAAAATGTTCACGATGTGAAAATTGGATTTGGCACAAGATTGTGACTGAGAGAACAGGCATCGAGGACAATCTGGGATTGTGGCTGGGGGTGGGGAGAGGAGGGCTGGACTACAGTCTGATATTTTCCACTTGAAATGAAGGAATCCTCTCTGGTAATGCAGACACAAAGCTGAGGATTTTGAGGATTTTCACTTGTGAACTCTATCCTTAGTTCTGTAACTCTTTCCTGAGCAGCTCTGGGCAAGGTCTCATGAACCCTCCCACAAAGAGATATATCTAATAGACACACAAGGATGTTTACAAGTGAATACTTTGAATTTTGTGGTACTATTCAAAGAGGTGGTATCTATGTTAATTTTGAATTGGGGGGAGAGTCTGCCAGTTCAATTATTACCCAGTTACTTGCAGTATTTCCTTGCACTTTGATGAGATGCATGCTGCTTAGTTACTCTTAAGTGGAAGAAAAAAAATAAATCTAGCAACATGTTCAACTCTATCCTCACGTTTGGAAGAAGGATCAAGATGTTAGCTGGAAAACACATTCTGAAGAAGTGCTGAAAAACAACTCACCACAGTCTGCATTGTTATCTTTTTTGCTTTCAGAGAAGACACAACAATGGTCTAACGATTTCTTCTAATCTGTTGACCACTTTGATGCCTGTTGCACAAGGAATCCATGTGAACCAGGCACTTTTAGATGTTTTTTATTTCCATCCAACTCCCACTTCTACTCCTGGTTTAGGCACAAGATAAGAAATTGCTTGCAGCTAGTGTGTATTTTCTCTCTCTGATCAAGGTTATTTGATCCATGCACCTTTTGAACAAATCCTTTATGTTGCCACAGAGATGTTAATTCAAAGCAGCCCACAACTCCAAAAAGTGTAACGACTTTTCCTTTTTTTTTTCTGCTCAGAAATTCGATACATTTTGCATTTTATCAGTTCTCTTAGTGTTTTTATATTTCATGTTGCAAATATGAGAAAATATTTCAGTTTAGCTTTTGTCTCAGAGAATGTCCATTTCCCAAGCAAAAATGTATTTTATTTTTTTAATAAATAACATATGTGAGGGGGAGGAACTTGTTTGCACAACTATCACAAGGTAATATGAAGGAATACTGAACCTTTCAACTTGAAATGGTTCATGAGGGAATGAATGTGGCTCTGGTCAGAACTCTTTAATGATACAGGGTGAAGTTTTGCTTTTCACTAAACTTGCTGAAAAATGCAGAGGCATTAAAGAGGGTTCAGAGGACAACAAAGCAAGGCGCTTTAATAGGATGAACTAACATAAAAGGCTCAGTGAGCAAAGCCTTTTCCCACCACATCGGCGAGAATGGGGAAACACAATACTCAGCCCAGCAGCTACGCTATGGAAGTGTGCTGGGTGGTACAGAAAGAAAACTTTTTAAAGCTCCAGACAAAAAGCAGAGTCTGTCTATAGGAACTAGAACCAGTTAAAACATGTAAAGTAGCTCAGATTTTTTCAAAGTATTTTGATGTTTGAAGGCTCAAAGTACCTCAGTATTTCAGG